ATGGTTTCCACGGTGACCAAGAAAATGCAAAGAGTGAAAAGAAATCATTATAGCATGTTCATTTTCAGTATAGTCAGGTCACCTTGCTGTGTGACGACACATGTCTAGATGTCAGGTCACCTTGCTGTGAGACGACACATGTCTAGATAGTCAGGTTACCTTGCTGTGAGACGACACATGTCTAGATAGTCAGGTCACCTTGCTGTGTGACTACACATGTCCAGATAGTCAGGTCACCTTGCTGTGAGACAACACATGTCTAGATAGTCAGGTCACCTTGCTGTGAGACGACACATGTCTAGATGTCAGGTCACCTTGCTGTGAGACAACACATGTCTAGATAGTCAGGTCACCTTGCTGTGAGACAACACATGTCTAGATAGTCAGGTCACCTTGCTGTGAGACGACACATGTCTAGATAGTCAGGTCACCTTGCTGTGAGACGACACATGTCCAGATAGTCAGGTCACCTTGCTGTGAGACGACACATGTCTAGATAGTCAGGTCACCTTGCTGTGTGATGACACATGTCTAAATAGTCAGGTCACCTTGCTGTGGGACGACACATGTCTAGATGTCAGGTCACCCTGCTGTGAGACGACACATGTCTAGACAGTCAGGTCACCTTGCTGTGAGACGACACATGTCTAGATAGTCAGGTCACCTTGCTGTGAGACGACACATGTCTAGCTAGTCAGGTCACCTTGCTGTGTGATGACACATGTCTGAATAGTCAGGTCACCTTGCTGTGAGACAACACATGTCTAGACAGTCAGGTCACCTTGCTGTGAGACGACACTTGTCTAGCTAGTCAGGTCACCTTGCTGTGAGACGACACATGTCTAGACAGTCAAGTCACCTTGCTGTGAGACGACACATGTCTAGATGTCAGGTCACCTTGCTGTGAGACGACACATGTCAAGATAGTCAGGTCACCTTGCTGTGAGACGACACATGTCTAGATGTCAGGTCACCTTGCTGTGAGACAACACATGTCTAGACAGTCAGGTCACCTTGCTGTGAGACGACACTTGTCTAGCTAGTCAGGTCACCTTGCTGTGAGACGACACATGTCTAGACAGTCAAGTCACCTTGCTGTGTGACGACACATGTCTAGATGTCAGGTCACCCTGCTGTGAGACGACACATGTCTAGACAGTCAGGTCACCTTGCTGTGAGACGACACATGTCCAGATAGTCAGGTCACCTTGCTGTGAGACGACACATGTCTAGATAGTCAGGTCACCTTGCTGTGTGATGACACATGTCTAAATAGTCAGGTCACCTTGCTGTGGGACGACACATGTCTAGATGTCAGGTCACCCTGCTGTGAGACGACACATGTCTAGACAGTCAGGTCACCTTGCTGTGAGACGACACATGTCTAGATAGTCAGGTCACCTTGCTGTGTGATGACACATGTCTAAATAGTCAGGTCACCTTGCTGTGGGACGACACATGTCTAGATGTCAGGTCACCCTGCTGTGAGACGACACATGTCTAGACAGTCAGGTCACCTTGCTGTGAGACGACACATGTCTAGATAGTCAGGTCACCTTGCTGTGAGACGACACATGTCTAGCTAGTCAGGTCACCTTGCTGTGTGATGACACATGTCTGAATAGTCAGGTCACCTTGCTGTGAGACGACACATGTCTAGATGTCAGGTCACCTTGCTGTGAGACGACACATGTCAAGATAGTCAGGTCACCTTGCTGTGAGACGACACATGTCTAGATGTCAGGTCACCTTGCTGTGAGACAACACATGTCTAGACAGTCAGGTCACCTTGCTGTGAGACGACACTTGTCTAGCTAGTCAGGTCACCTTGCTGTGAGACGACACATGTCTAGACAGTCAAGTCACCTTGCTGTGAGACGACACATGTCTAGATGTCAGGACACCTTGCTGTGAGACGACACATGTCAAGATAGTCAGGTCACCTTGCTGTGAGACGACACATGTCTAGATGTCAGGTCACCTTGCTGTGAGACAACACATGTCTAGACAGTCAGGTCACCTTGCTGTGAGACGACACTTGTCTAGCTAGTCAGGTCACCTTGCTGTGAGACGACACATGTCTAGACAGTCAAGTCACCTTGCTGTGTGACGACACATGTCTAGATGTCAGGTCACCCTGCTGTGAGACGACACATGTCTAGACAGTCAGGTCACCTTGCTGTGAGACGACACTTGTCTAGCTAGTCAGGTCACCTTGCTGTGAGACGACACATGTCTAGACAGTCAAGTCACCTTGCTGTGAGACGACACATGTCTAGATAGTCAGGTCACCTTGCTGTGAGATGACACTTGTCTAGCTAGTCAGGTCACCTTGCTGTGTGATGACACATGTCTAGACAGTCAGGTCACCTTGCTGTGAGACGACACATGTCTAGCTAGTCAGGTCACCTTGCTGTGTGACGACACATGTCTAGATGTCAGGTCACCTTGCTGTGTGATGACACATGTCTAGATGTCAGGTCACCTTGCTGTGTGATGACACATGTCTAGATGTCAGGTCACCTTGCTGTGTGATGACACATGTCTAGATAGTCAGGTCACCTTGCTGTGTGATGACACATGTCTAGATGTCAGGTCACCTTGCTGTGTGATGACACATGTCTAGATGTCAGGTCACCTTGCTGTGTGATGACACATGTCTAGATGTCAGGTCACCTTGCTGTGTGATGACACATGTCTAGATGTCAGGTCACCTTGCTGTGTGATGACACATGTCTAGATGTCAGGTCACCTTGCTGTGTGATGACACATGTCTAGATAGTCAGGTCACCTTGCTGTGTGATGACACATGTCTAGATGTCAGGTCACCTTGCTGTGTGATGACACATGTCTAGACAGTCAGGTCACCTTGCTGTGAGACGACACATGTCTAGCTAGTCAGGTCACCTTGCTGTGTGACGACACATGTCTAGCTAGTCAGGTCACCTTGCTGTGAGACGACACATGTCTAGCTAGTCAGGTCACCTTGCTGTGAGACGACACATGTCTAGATGTCAGGTCACCTTGCTGTGTGATGACACATGTCAAGATAGTCAGGTCACCTTGCTGTGAGACAACACATGTCTAGATAGTCAGGTCACCTTGCTGTGAGACGACACATGTCTAGATAGTCAGGTCACCTTGCTGTGAGACGACACATGTCTAGATGTCAGGTCACCTTGCTGTGAGATTATTCATGTCTAGATAGTCAGGCAAGGGCGGATCCAGCATTTTTAAAAGGGAGGGGTCCCAAATATCAAAATCCTCTCTCAGATAATTTTACTGCCTACAGCATACTACATTTGGTTTTCAAACAGGAAGGGGAGGGGAATTAGGACCCCTGGACCCCGCCTCTGGATCCGCCTATATATGGTCAGGTCACAGTATATGGGTCGCCCCCTGCATTTCATTTACTGAAAAATGTTGAGAGTTGATGATTGGTGTTTCCAGGATCGGCCCGCTGATTGGTCTGTTTGTGATAGGCCTTGGGACTGGGGGCATCAAACCATGCGTGTCTGCGTTCGGGGGAGACCAGTTCCACGCCTCACAGGTAAGATATAACCATGATAACCATGACCCAGATATAGGAGGGTATATTCTCTAGGTGAATTAATCAAGTTTAGATTTCAAAATGGCTGAGAGAAAAGTCAAATGGAGAATGGGTGTCCAAAATGGCTGACAAAATAGTCAAGTGGTGTTTGGTGGTCCAAAATGGCTGTCAGAATAGAAAAATGGTGATTTGAGGTCCAAAATGGAGCACTGGAAATATTTGAGATTGATTTTGGGTTGTTGGGGTTGTCCTAACTACCTTTAGGGCACACCAGAAACCTATGATTGTGAGTTTGAATGCCGGTTCGCCACGATTGTGTTTCTAGGTTTGTCAGCACCATACCCATGCTCGGGCGTTTCACCGAAGTGGTAAACATCGAAGACCTGCATCATTTCGAGCTTTCCTCCCACATTAAGTCGACACGGCGCGATATAACTGGAATACTGTTAAAAGTGGCGTTAAACCCAACTCACTCACTCGATCACCTAACTGTCTTTGCTATGTAAGGATAAGAATTTGGGGATGAACAACTTCTTCATTACAATTAAGAGCGACGTTTCGGTGTCGGTTCTAACACCGTTATCAAGCAAGTGGTGTTAGAACTTACACTGAAACGTCGCTCTTAATTGAAATAAACACGTTGTTCATCCACAAATTCTTATCCTTACTTAGTACTCCAACTTCTAAATGCCCATCAAAGAAGTTACCTTTGCAATATAAAACCACTCATGTACTCGAAACATATGCACTATTTGGTACTTTTAGTGGGACGGTATCTGCTGATAATGGTGATAATGAATGAGTACAGAATTGCAAAGAACACATGGTTTGGCAACACATTCACAGAATGCCTTAATTCTCTGTCGAAAGTATTTTGAAAGTATAAATTCAAGCATAGTCAGTCACTTGGTTGAATCGCACTCATGAGACGTTGTTGTTGAGCTGCAAACTTGCATTAGGATGACAGTATGATGATGATGATGATGATGATGATGATGATGATCTGACCCATTAACCCCAAAGGATGCCAGGTTAGTAGACATCCCCAGCAACCAGTGTTTGTCGTAAAAGGCAACTTGATGGATGGGGTGGTCAGGCTTGGTGACTTGATTGATTTCGTGTCATGGTACCCTAACAACGTAGATCATTACTCATAATGTCAATCCCTGCGTTCTCTGGTCCAGATTCAATTATTAACAGGCCACTGTCATGTAGCTGAAATATTGCTGAGTGTGTTGTTAAACAACAAAAACAACAACAAAAAACAATCATTCTTGTCCAATTTTTTCAGGAGAAAGAAAGGACAACATTCTTCTCTGTATTTTACTTCATGATCAACGTAGGCAGCGTCCTGTCAACATTCTTCACGCCTATGTTACGAGGTAAAACATTCTTCATAATAATCAGCAATAAACCATCACATATAATAAGTGGACAGTGCACAGGTCACAAATCAGTTGAAGTAAACCACGTTGGTCGAATCTTCCCGAGGCAAGGGAGTTAACTGACTAGAAAAGTCAAGTTTCCATCCTTGCCAAACTAGGCTGGAATTTCTGGGCTCAACCGTAGCCCCACCAGTGGCTATCACAAGCTATGTCCTTTCTATGCCTCTCGTATTGACCAATCAGATTCCAACTCTCATATCACTTTTATTTGCTTCACTCAAAATGGCGGCACCCAGTCAAGATGATTGATAATCAAGATCAAAATTGTGGTCTTACATCGCAAAGTGCAAATCACGTGATAACCTTGATTCAAAATATGATTTTTTTTTTGAAAATATCTTTTGACGCCTAGTTGTTGGTGCACATACTTTGCAAATCCTGCAATTGACCGAAATCTGCAGTTTACGAACTGGATGTCTAGTTCGTTATTCGATTTTGATTGAACTATGCATAGACTTGTTAGTCCAGCCAAAATATAATTCCATGATGCCGGGCTAGTTCGGCAAGGGTGGAAACTGTTCACTTCCTTGCCTCGGGAGGATGTGTTGGTTGCAGAGAGTAGTTGGATGCAAGACCACATTCAGCAGAGTGTTTCTACGGCTTCAGTCCTGCCCCACACTGAAGCACATGTTGCTCGTGTGTCGATATAGGCGAGTGACTTTGATCACAATATGCTTCTGTTCACCCAGCAGTGAGTGGGTACCTGGTAGGATGAGATGGTAATGCAATTGTTAACCTTCTAGCTCCTCATGACAGCTTGGGCTGTATACTCCCCAGGGAGCTGAGAATGAAAATTGAGTGCACTCTGATCCACTGACCTGGGTAATAGTTATTTCCAGCGCCACGAGCATTCACTTGCTGAATAGAATTATTATAAATGGACTTATTATTTCATGCTTATGCTGCAAACAGACATGCATGGTTCAGGTGGCTTGGCAGGGCTCTCATGTCACACCTGGCTATCTATCCTGGCCAAGCTGGCAGCCGCATTAACAATGTTTAACCACCATGGCTTGCAGATATGGGATGTGTGCTTACATGGATGTTTTGTGTCAAGTCTGCCAAGTGATACGTTTATGGTTCAAACATCACATGATTATGTTTGTGTGCGGACTACGATTAACATCATTGAACACTTGTGGGGCTGTTTACAATCATATTATTTCAATGATGAAAACAACATTCTTACTTTATGAGACAGTTATAGCATGTTGCTAAAATGAGAATATATTTTCCTGTTTACACATTTGGATCTGAGATCGTTATCAATGTTAACCTTTTATCACCTTACAAACACTTGAAGGAAACCTACAGTATGACCAGTTAATATTGTATTGCAATTAATTGGAATATACAGTGGCGACATTATGATAAATATATCGTTATGTAGTTCAAAGATCAAACTATAGTTATTATTGTGTTTGTAAAGGATAAAACCTAAGTTTTACTTAAAAATATAACAGTTGGATAAAACACACCTCTGCACTTTTACATTTTCAATCAAAACCTCGGAGGCATGTTTCATCCAACTTATTAACTGTCTAAATGCAAGAAATACCAGAGAAAATAACAAAACATTGAGGCACCTTAGAGTGAAACAATACACCATGTCGCGGTATAAAATGAATTTGTTCAAAGCGTGCCTAGGTATTACAATTGAAATGTAAAACCTGAAATCAGGTTTAGAAGTGTCCCATTTCAAAACCTAGTTTTGGAAGATGAACTGGTTACTAGGTTTACAGCAGGTTGACAGGAAGCCAATAGCTATAGGTTTATAGGTATAGGTATAGGTATATTATAGGTATTCGTTTCTTGTTTATGTCTCACATACTATTGTTTAAAACTCTCCTACACATATCCTAAGAGTAAGACAATTTGAAGAAAAAAAATGTACTCTACTGCAATTTACATTACATTAGCAAATATATAATTTCATCATAGAAACAATGGAAAGACATCTATCCCATTGAATACAAATCAGTTAGATATGTTTTACTGAAAGAGATACTTGCAGACTTTGTAATTGTATCTGTGTGTGTTGTCTCTATGGCGACAGCTGTTCCTGTAGAAGGACAGCTCTCTTGAACAGGTCTGGCAGTTAATGTCACGCCAGCTGTGTTTGTGACGAAAATAGTCCACTTATTATTCTCCTGCATGAATTTGAATATTAAAAAATCTGGAAAAAATTATTCACAGTGGGGGACACCAGAGATTGAGCTTTACACCTTTACCCATGTGGGAAATCGAGTCCAGGGCCCACTTGCACAAAGGGATCTTAGCGCTATGACTATTGTAAGCCTATGTTAAAGTATGGGAGTTACGATCATCTTAGCGCTAAGATCACTTTGAGCAAGTGGGCCCAGGTCTTCAGCATGACGAGCGAACACTTTAACCACTAGGCTACCCCTCTGTCGCATCTGATCATGATAAATACGGAATCCTGTTTAATCGGTACATACATAGTGTAGCCACTATTGCACACACATGTTATAATTGCTTTAGGAAATGATATATCATGAACCAGTCAAATCCCATTAATGGCCTGTCACTACTAGTGTGATAAGCTGTCTGCAGTACATCACATCCAATTGTGACAATTAAAGCACTTCCATGTCCACCAGGGGGCATGGGTGGCCCAGTCGTCTAAGGCGCCGCGATTTGCACTGCAGAGTTGCGTCCTTGGGCACGCCAGAAACCTATGATTGTGGGTTCGAATCCCGGTTCGCCCCGATTATGTTTCTAGGTTTGTCAGCACCATACCCGTGCTCGTGGGTTTCACTGAAGTGGTAAACGTCTGAGACCTGCATCACTTCGGGCTTTCCTCCCACATTAAGCTGACACGCCATGATATAACTGGAATACTGTTAAAAGCGCCGTTAAACCCAACTCACTCACTCACTCACCCATGTCCACCAAGGTTGTCTGGTCGGGCAGACGGAGACAAACATGTTTCCTATATATTGGGGTTTTTTTTAGCTTCAGGTGAAGGTGAAATGTTTTCAGGCAACAAACAATTACCTTTTGATGTGAGTGGCAGGTGCTGCCAGTAGGGCTTTCACAAACACCTGGTGTCATCACTGATTTTCAGTTATCCATTCATATAATTGTCACCACAACTCTGCCTTTTTATCAGGAATGTTGAGGCAGATAATCGTAGACTGGTTGTTCTCTGACATTGACGTTACCCCCCGGGTATATTATAATGAGGGTAGACTAACATTTAGTTTCTGAAATCTTATATTACACAATATCCTTCTTGACTAATAAAATAACAATTTCCCTATGCTGATTTCATATGTGGAATAGAGTTAGCTAGAGCTGGCTAGACTTGCTTTTGTATGCATTCCTAGATTATTATTTTTTTCATAAAATAAATATATTCCACGGTCATGGTGCAGGACTATAATGAGGGGTACATGGGGTTTTATGTGTCCCGCGTTAGGTTTTGTACCTCCCGTGATCCTGCTACACCAAATTTATCTTACCGACATTTATTAATATGACATTGTAAAATAATTCAAATAAATTCCAAATTGATAGAAAACAGCTGCTCGATTGAGCCGAGGGTGGCTTGCGCTATGTCACATGTCATCCATTGGCGCGGAAAAAGCTTCGGCTTTTGGCTTTGAAGCAGGGTATAAAGGATTTATTCTGTCTCTCAGAAGTCCACGTGCAGCCTGTAGTGCTTGTGGCAGGGTATAAGGGATTTATTCCCTCACTGAGAAATTTATTACCCACTAAGGCGGGTTACACAGTATGTTATCAAGATCACATGGACCAATCAGATCTCATCATTCTGACATGGAGGTATGATAAATGTTTTTACAGCTGATGTGCACTGTATAGAAGACACATGCTACCCTCTTGCCTTCGGTGTTCCTGCACTGCTCATGTTCCTGGCCATCAGTAAGTACTAGTAGTGGGATGATACACCGATGCATCGGTGGATCACGATTGTTTACTTCTTGATACAAGTATCAATCACAGTCGCACTCTAAGTTAAAAAAGACCACCTCCGTGGTCTAGTGGTAGAGCGTCCGCCTGGAGAGTGGAAGGTCAGGGGTTCGATCCCCGGCCATGTCATACCAAAAGACGTTAAAAGATGGTACTTGTTGTTACCCTTTCTGGCGCTCAGCATTAAGGGGCTAAAACAAGGACTGGTCAGCTCAGATACAGTATACTGTGTCTGAGTGGGGTATTTATGTTAAACTGCGGCATGGTATCTCAGTGGGCTAGCACTATAAATCGGCATCAGTCCAGACTAGTACAAGCAGCCACACACACAAGTACATGCACGTCGCTATATAAGTGCAATAATCTTGGACGCGACGTTAAACTTCATTTCACCTCACCTCACCTAAGTTAAAAAGTATTGATTCTTATATAAATGTAGTCTTTAATAAATGCTACACCAAACACTGATAACTAGTGAAAATGAGTCGTAAAAATGTAAAATATTTCCATCCATTGCGCCATACTTGACACTGCCAACTGTAAATCGTTAGAATGCCAGGTATTGGCCATCCTCTCTATGAAAAGGATGGCTTTCGCACCAGAGATAAGAGCGCATATAAGTTATCATGATATGCATTGCATCGCACAGTTGGTGTAGCATCCCACCCTCCAACTATTGTTGGCATCGTGTATATCTCTAAGTCTCACATTTGGGTAAACCTACACTCACCCCTGGATCCATAACCCAGGTTCTCATGATGTCAAATTATCTGCCCTTGATTTTCATTAACATTTAACCAACGAATCAACAGTTGACATAAGGAAAAAGGAAATGCTTATGGGAGGTAACTCTTTTGCATATCAGTCACTTTTTTCAAAATTGAATTTCTCGCAACTCTATCGAAATCAATAGGACTGACTGCTAGTTGTTGATTCCGCCAACCCAACTTTGAGGATTGTTTGTAACTTGCCTCTGATTGGTCCGTTAGACAGAGTAGCATAACAGGCAATTGACTAAGAAAATCAAGGGCAGGTAATTTGAGATCGTACAAACCACAGGAATGGATTCAGGGGTTTGTGTAGGTTTAGCGAAATGCAAGCCCTGGAGATATGGAGGATGTATTGTAAACAGTCCTAGATTCGGGACAGAGGGGTTAAACCCGTGAAGGTAAACTTCTGTACCTATTGTCACATATTTCATCATTTTAAACAAAACAACCTGGAGAAGAAATATTTGATTGTGTGTGGCTTATATTTTCAAACTAAAGCAGTTATCATTTCAACACAAGTTAAATTTACTTTTTGTTTTTTTAAATTGAATGTTAAACTGTTTGTCATCATTTGTATCTGTTTTTTTCAGTTATTTTTATTGCTGGGACAAAACTGTATAAAAGAAATCCACCCTCAGGGAATATTCTTGGAAAGGTTTTACGATGCATATGGGTGAGTACCTTTCATATGGTGAGTACTTTTCATATGGGTGAGTACCTTCCATATGGGCGAGTACCTTTCATATGGGCGAGTACCTTTCACATGGCGGAGTACCTTTCATATGGGCGAGTACCTTTCATATGGGAGAGTACCTTTCATATGGGTGGGTACCTTTCACATGGCGGAGTACCTTTCATATGGGTGAGTACCTTTCATATGGGCGAGTACCTTTCATATGGGTGAGTACCTTTCACATGGGTGAGTACCTTTCACATGGCGGAGTACCTTTCATATGGGTGAGTACCTTTCATATGGCAGAGTACCTTTCATATGGGCGAGTACCTTTCATATGGGTGAGTACCTTTCACATGGCGGAGTACCATTCATATGGGTGAGTACCTTTCACATGGGTGAGTACCTTTCATATGGGTGAGTACCTTTCATATGGGTGAGTACCTTTCACATGGGCGAGTACCTTTCATAGGGGCAAGTACCTTTCATATGGGCAAGTACCTCTCATGAATGAGTACCTTTCATATGGGTGATTACCTTTCACATGGCGGAGTACCTTTCATATGGGGGAGTACCTTTCATATGGGGGAGTACCTTTCATATGGGGGAGTACCTTTCATATGGGTGAGTACCTTTCATATGGGTGAGTACCTTTCATATGGGCGAGTACCTTTCTTATGGGTGAGTACCTTTCACATGGCGGAGTACCTTTCATATGGGTGAGTACCTTTCACATGGCGGAGTACCTTTCATATGGGCGAGTACCTTTCATATGGGTGAGTACCTTTCATATGGGGGAGTACCTTTCATATGGGTGAGTACCTTTCATATGGGTGAGTACCTTTCATATGGGCGAGTACCTTTCTTATGGGTGAGTACCTTTCACATGGCGGAGTACCTTTCATATGGGTGAGTACCTTTCACATGGCGGAGTACCTTTCATATGGGCGAGTACCTTTCATATGGGTGAGTACCTTTCACATGGGTGAGTACCTTTCATATGGGTGAGTACCTTTCATATGGGTGAGTACCTTTCACATGGGCGAATACCTTTCATAGGGGCAAGTACCTTTCATATGGGCAAGTACCTCTCATGAATGAGTACCTTTCATATGGGTGAGTACCTTTCACATGGTGGAGTACCTTTCATATGGGGGAGTACCTTTCATATGGGCGAGTACCTTTCATATGGGGGAGTACCTTTCATATGGGTGAGTACCTTTCATATGGGTGAGTACCTTTCATATGGGCGAGTACCTTTCATATGGGTGAGTACCTTTCACATGGCGGAGTACCTTTCATATGGGGGAGTACCTTTCATATGGGCAAGTACCTTTCATATGGGTGAGTACCTTTCATATGGGTGAGTACCTTTCATATGGGTGAGTACCTTTCATACGGGCGAGTACCTTTCTTATGGGTGAGTACCTTTCACATGGCGGAGTACCTTTCATATGGGGGAGTACCTTTCATATGGGCGAGTACCTTTCATATGGGTGGGTACCTTTCACATGGCGGAGTACCTTTCATATGGGTGAGTACCTTTCATATGGGTGAGTACCTTTCATATGGGTGAGTACCTTTCATATGGGTGAGTACCTTTCACATGGCAAAGTACCTTTCACATGGCGGAGTACCTTTCATATGGGTGAGTACCTTTCACATGGCGGAGTACCTTTCATATGGGCGAGTACCTTTCATATGGGTGAGTACCTTTCACATGGCGGAGTACCATTCATATGGGTGAGTACCTTTCACATGGGTGAGTACCTTTCATATGGGTGAGTACCTTTCATATGGGTGAGTACCTTTCACATGGGCGAGTACCTTTCATAGGGGCAAGTACCTTTCATATGGGCAAGTACCTCTCATGAATGAGTACCTTTCATATGGGTGAGTACCTTTCACATGGCGGAGTACCTTTCATATGGGGGAGTACCTTTCACATGGCGGAGTACCATTCATATGGGTGAGTACCTTTCACATGGGTGAGTACCTTTCATATGGGTGAGTACCTTTCATATGGGTGAGTACCTTTCACATGGGCGAATACCTTTCATAGGGGCAAGTACCTTTCATATGGGCAAGTACCTCTCATGAATGAGTACCTTTCATATGGGTGGGTACCTTTCACATGGCGGAGTACCTTTCATATGGGTGAGTACCTTTCATATGGGTGAGTACCTTTCATATGGGTGAGTACCTTTCATATGGGTGAGTACCTTTCATATGGGGGAGTACCTTTCACATGGGCGAGTACCTTTCACAGGGGCGAGTACCTTTCATAGGGGCGAGTACCTTTCATATGGGCGAGTACCTCTCATGAATGAGTACCTTTCATATGGGTGAGTACCTTTCACATGGCGGAGTACCTTTCATATGGGTGAGTACCTTTCATATGGGCGAGTACCTTTCACATGGGTGATTACCTTTATATGGGTGAGTACCTATCATATGGGCGAGTATACATGCTAAGGACTAACGACCGCCTCCTTGGTCTAGCAGCCCAGGGAGCTGAACGTCAGGGATTCAATCCCTGGCCGTGTCATTTCAAAACACGTTAAAAGATGGTACTCGTTGTTTCCTTGATAAAACAAGGATGTGTCAGTATGAGTCGGTATACTGTGTGTGAGTAGACAGATTGTCTCCCGACCAATTTTCATAATTTGCCATTAATTCCCTCGCGTGTCATGAGCTTTAGGATGCTTTTACAGTCGGCAAACTGCTTCAGACTAGCAAGATGGCTGAAACGATAACAAACAAACATCAGGTAGATCATATCATTCTGTGCCATAAACAATTGTGTCTACCAGCCCCAACTTTAATTTTGTATAATTTTCAATAGATTTTAGTCTTTGTATATGGATCTGCATTAGTTGGTCCTACTTGACGAGAATAAATTTTACTAGACTCGGGCTTTGGACCAGTGGCTATAATCACAGACTGTTGTGGTTGTCCATTCATATTATTGTCACCACTATTTTGCCTTCTACGCCAAAACGGAATCTGTTTTGGCAGAGAGGTTATTCTCTGGCAATGACGTTTTATATTTCATATGGTTGTCATGGTAATATTGTATTCCTGCAGCACGGACTACGGAGGTCGTGTCAGACAAGGGGCGAGGTGCGTGAAGATAAGACCCACTGGCTGGACCGCGCAGAAGATAAGTTTGAGGTAAGATCCGACTGTTTCAGATGAATGTTAGTGTCAAACAATACCATTATCAGAGATAGACAACATGAGGTCAATCCTACCAGTCCAGAGTTGATATTACTAATATTGGGTGAAAACCATTGTCAGTACTTCACGGGATTTTATATATGATGCACTCTGGTCATGAACTTTGTATGACCCCTGCAGTTCACTGATATCAAAGCACTGTACAGTAGTCTGCAAGGCCATGGCACATGGTGGACGAGAAATGTTGCCGATGTAATTTGAACAAATCTATAAAAAAAACAATATTCGTTCTTGTTACTACCACAAAACAAAGATCAGAGGATCGTAGTCGCCACTTTGAGACTAGTGTCATTAAGCATGAGAAACCTGTCTTCTGATTGGCTATTGTCAACCTCTTGTCAGTCATTCCATTGGTCGGTCAAAGTTCGCAAAAGGACGGTCTGACATGACCCATAATGGGATGTCCTCAGATCTTTGTTTAGTGATAGGAAGAACTAAGATCTGATTTTAATGAGATTGAATCTGAACGAATTGGTCTTAGAATTTATCTTTTTCAGCATAATTAAACGACGTGTATTTCCAAGGAACTGATGATATGTGTATCCTTGTGACTGAGACTTAGGCTTGATGCCGTTTAGAAGAGTGTTTCAGTGACATCACCCTGTGACAGTTGAATCTGAAGGAATGTCCCAGTGATGCTGGATTTTGAAATAAATTTATCACTTAGGTGAAACTCATGAACTCGGCTGTGATGCTGACAAACCTAGACACATAGTCAGGATAAGTCTAACCCACGATCATAGGATCCGGGAGGACTTAAGGATACAACTTGTGGCTTTTTTGAGGACTTTGCCCTCTGAAAGATTATGTTTATATATTGTTATTCAATATTTGTGTGAACACGAATAACCCAGTGGTCTCTGTCGGAACCTACAGGTTGAATGTTTCAAAATTCAAGAGTTGCGACATTCTCTATACCACAAGGGCTCACATTTTGGTAAACCTACCCTACCCTGGACTCATTCCCCTAGTTCTCGTGATCTCAGATTACCCGCCCTTGAGTTTCATTAGCCAATTTGATTTGCTATGCTACTCAATCTAACAGACCAATCAGAATGCGAGTTACAAAACCAGCCTCAATGTTGGGTTGACGATATCAACAACATGGCTGCCATGATTTTGATAGAGTTTGCGAGGAATCCAATATTGAAATCCTGACCCGCACGCAAAAGAAAGCACACAAAAATATTTTTGATTGAAAGGATGTCTCCATGTATTTTAAAACTGGCGGTCACTTTGGGTTCTAGGCAATAGGAGTTACCTCCCTTAGCCATTTACTTTTTTTCCTTATCTCAACGTTTAATTGGTTGGTAAAATCTTAATGAAAATCGAGGGCAGGTAACTTGAGATCTCGAGAACCACGGGAATGGATCCAGGGGTGAGTGTAGGTTACTGAAATGTGAACCCTGGAGATATGGAGGATGGAAGTGCCACAATCATGAAGCTTAGTTTATCGGAACCATGGTCATGCGGAAGAACAGGGTTAGAATAGGTCTTCAGCATCCAATGCTTGCCGTAAAAGGCGACTAACGTGTCCAGGCTCACTGACTTGGTTGATACATGTCATCGTATCCCAGTTGTGTGGATCGATGCTCATGATGTCAATTACTGTCTCGTCCAAACTTGATTATTTGCAGACCGCCGTAATATAGCTGGAATATTGCTGAGTGTGGTGTTTAACTACAAGCAAACAATGATGGTATTGTTTGTACCAGAGTCGATTGTTTACAGACCACTGTTGTATGACAGGAGTATTGCTGAGTGTGGTGTTAGGCAACACACAAACACTTACTTTTTTGTGAAATCTGTTTTAGGAGATAATCGAGACTGAATATTGTCTGGTGTTGAAATTGAATTTCACCTGTAAATGTTTTGGTTTTAGGAGAGTTTTGTAGAAGATGTGAAGATTTTGCTGAAAGTATTATGGCTGTTCCTGCCCCTGCCATTGTTCTGGGCATTGTTTGATCAGCAGGTAGGTAAACACTCACAGACCAATTATACCTGGGTGCCATTGTACAAAGCGATCTTAGCGCTAAGGTGAACGTAACTCCCATACCTTAACATAGATTAACGACAGTCATGGTGCTAAGGTTGTTTTGTACAACGACACCCTGGTCCATTAATCAAGAACCCATACAGGGATTTCCGGGCAGAATAGGTTGCCACAACACTGTGTTTATGTGACTGACCATAGAACTGGATGATGACTCTGTGTGGCCTGCCTTATTGTAGTTACCCCGGGTACTGCCTATATGGGCATGTAGAAAGGGTGCCTACCTTGAGTGTGGGGGCCGGTGGTTCGATTCCCGACTAGCCATACTTAAAGACGTTAAAAGATGGTACTTTTTTTTACCCTGTAAGGCACCTGGCATTGAGGAGATAGTACAAGGAATGGTCTACTCTGAATCAGTATACATGCACTATGCCCTAGACTAACATCTAGTCTCTGAAATGAACATATTTTACAGAAAAAACAGTGGTTTAATTATAGTTATAAAATAAAATGAAAAGGAGCCTAGAGATTTTCTTCATTTCCTCAAACTGCAGTAATCTAGACTTGCCAAATTTTATATATAGACTTGCATGGGCTGTATTGGATATATTTATTTCAGGGTCTGTATGGCAGACTAACTATGTCCGAGTGGGCCATGGTATATCTGTGGCCAGCACTATTGCACCCACACCGTAACCCACACCCACACCCACACCCACACCCACACCCACACCCACACCCACACCGGCACCCACACCGGCATTCATACCCACGCCCAAACAACGCACACACAGATGACTACTACTGCTCACATACACATAGCTGGAATTAAGCAGAAAACAACAATTACTTCCTCACTCATAAATAATTGTACCCTTGAAGATTCTGGGTAGAATTGGGTTTGCCATAAAAGGCAACTAATCTTGTCGTAAGAGGCGACTAAAGGGATCGGGTAGTGAGACTTGCTGACTTCGTTCATGTATGTCAGTGTATCCCATTTGTGTGGATTGATGCTCATGATTTCAATCACTGGATTGGCTGGTCTAGACTAAATTATTTGCAGACTGCCGTCATACAGGAATATTGCTGAGTGCTGCATTAAACAACAAACAAACAACCATAAACAACTGATGTTATTTTTATCCAAACTTTGCCCACTTCAACATGTTCAAAATAACTAACCTCAGTTCATTTATGTAGGAACAGGTCCCATCAACCCTTGCGTGGTGTAAGAGGCCACTGAATGCATCGGTTGGTCGTCTCAGGTTTTGCTTGCTTGCATGTTATAGCACCCTGATGACATGGTACGTTACTCATACTATCAATCACAGGTTTGTCTGGGACACATCCTGTCATATCAGGGGATAAAGCAGAGAGAATCATCAAACAACAAACATCTTTTATGAATTTTAGGACTTAGCATGGATCGATTAATGTGTCACTATGTGTTTCTTGTGAAACATTGTGCTTCGTTTTGTTTCAGGGCTCCAGATGGACGCTCCAGGCAGAAGAAATGGATGGGTCAATGGTAAAACTTATTCCACTGTATTGTAGTAGCTGTTCGTCTTTATTCAACTCCATGGAGGCAAATATAGGATATATATATAGGGTCATTATGGATGTGAATCCAGATAGTATGAGATGGCTACATGCCAAGGGAGATAATCCTGAACTGTCTGATCGCATTGGATTTGTTCATGGCATTATAAACAATGTTTTTTCTTGTGAAAAATGTTTAAGATTTAAAATTAAAATTAAAATATATTTTGTTAAATGTGAAAGCACTTGTTCTAAGAGAAAAGGAGGGCCTTAGCACTATTTTGTAGCTTGTTAAACTTGTTTCTTGTGTGATTTTCAGGGAAGCCTTGGGCGATTGAAACCAGACCAGTTTCAGGTATAGTTGTTGTGAATTGTTGTGAGTGTTGTTACAGTGTAATATACCAACAGTTGGGTGTTGTTACAGTGTAATATACCAACAGTTGGGTGTTGTTAGAATGTAATAAACCAACAGTTGGGTGTTGTTACAGTGTAATATACCAACAGTTGGGTGTTGTTACAGTGTAATATACCAATAGTTGTGTGTTGTTACAATGTAATATACCAACATGTGTGTGTTGTTACAATGTAATATACCAACAGTTGGGTGTTGTTACAGTGTAATATACCAATAGTTGTGTGTTGTTACAATGTAATATACCAACAGTTGGGTGTTGTTACAGTGTAATATACCAACAGATGAGTGTTGTTACAATGTATTATGCCAACAGTTGGGTGTTGTTACAATGTAATATACCAATAGTTGTGTGTTGTTACAATGTAATATACCAACAGATCAGTGATGTTACAATGTAATATACCAACAGTTGTGTTGTTACAGTGTAATATACCAACAGTTGTGTGTTGTTACAATGTAATATACCGACAGATGAGTGCTTTAACAATGTAATATACCAACAGATGAGTGTTGTTACAATGTAATATACCAACAGTTGTGTGTTGTTAGAATGTAATATGCCAACAGATGAGTGTTGTTAGAATGTAATATACCAACAGATGAGTGTTGCTACAATGTAATATACCAACAGTTGGGTGTTGGTACAATGTAATATGCCAACAGTTGGGTGTTGTTACAATGTAATATGCCAACAGATGAGTGTTGTTAGAATGTAATATACCAACAGATGAGTGTTGTTACAATGTAATATACCAACAGTTGGGTGTTGGTACAATGTAATATGCCAACAGTTGGGTGTTGTTACAATATGTCTGATGACCTCGCAGTTTTACTACATGTCTGATGATATCACAGTTATACATGTCTGATGACCTCACAGTTATACAACGTCTCTGATGGTCTCACAGTTATATGAGTCTGATGACCTCGCAGTTATACAACATGTCTGATGACCTCACAGTTATACAACATGTCTGATGACCTCACAGTTATACAACGTGTCTGATGACCTCACAGTTATACAACATGTCTGATGATTTGCTTGTTCTTGTTCTAGGTGTTGAACCCACTGCTGATCATCGTCCTCATCCCAGTATTTGAACACATCATCTATCCCCTGCTAGACTGCTGTAGACTGCCACACAGGTCAGTCCAGTGATAGAAACCATATATACACACAGACAGTCTTCATACAAAGGATGAGTTGAATAAGGGCGCAGTCCGGCCCACTGGAAATGTCCAATTACTCATAACTATAACTGGAATGAGTGAAAGAGTCTGATTCTCAGAACTTCAAGAGAAAATCTAAATATGAGCAAGTCCCAAGATTATATTTACTGTATGTACCGCTATCATATGACTGTACTGTTTGTACCTGCATCTTTACGTGGAGATTTGATACCTTGATAATGGCGGATGGTGTGACGTCTCTCTTCCAGGCCTCTGCAGCGGATGGTTGTGGGTATGAGCTTCGGTGTTCTAGCATTCATAGTCGCAGGACTTGTACAGATTAAACTAGATGTGAGTATCATCAAACAAGTCTGTGACATGGCTGCGTTTTTTTAACTGTCAGCTCAGATGTACCATCCATGCATAATATGTGAAACTTGACTTCAACATAAATAGGTTTTGTGGCACGATGTGTGTATGTGATGTGTAGCACCCCATGTGTATACACATACCCTGTGTGTGTGAGTGTATGTGTCTGTGTTTATGTATATGTGCGTGTGTGAGTGTGTAGGGGTGGATGTGTGTCTGTGTGTGTCTGTATCTCTGTGTTGGTGTGGGAATGTCTGTGTCTGTCAATTTGTGTCTTTGCGGGTGTCTGTGAGTGTGTCTGTGTGTATGTCTGTCTGTCTGTGAGTCTGTCTGTGTCTATGTGGTTGTGTCTGTCTGTGAGTCTGTGTCTATGTGGGTGTGTCTGAGTGTGTCTGTCTGTTTGTGAGTATGTCTGTGACTATGTGGGTGTGTCTGTGAGTCTGTCTGTGTCTATGTGGGTGTGTCTGTCTGTGTCTATGTAGGTGTGTCTGTCTGTGTCTATGTGGGTGTGTCTGTGTGTGTCTATGTAAGTGTGTCTGTCTGTGTCTATGTGGGTGTGTCTGTGAGTGTGTCTGTGTGTGTCTATGTAAGTCTGTCTGTCTGTGTCTATGTGGGTGTGTCTGTGAGTGTGTCTGTGTGTGTCTATGTAAGTCTGTCTGTCTGTGTCTATGTGGATGTGTCTTTGAGTGTGTCTGTCTGTCTGTCTATGTCTATGTGGGTGTGTCTGTCTGTCTATGTGGGTGTGTCTGTCTATGTCTATGTGGGTGTGGCTGTCTGTGTCTATGTAGGTGTGTCTGTCTGTGTCTATGTGGGCGTGTCTGTCTGTGTCTATGTGGGCGTGTTTGTCTGTGTCTATGTGGGCGTGTCTGCCTGTGTCTATGTAGGTGTGTCTATGAATGTGTCTGCCTGTGTCTATGTGGGTGATTCTGTGTCTATGTGCGTGTGTGGGTGTGTATCTGTGTTCCTGTCTCTGCGTGTCTATGCAGGTGTGTCTGAGTGTATATGCGTGCGAGTGTGTCTGTCTGTGCCTACAGAAAGATCAGTCAACAAACATTGTACGTTCCTTCAAGTGCAATATAGTTGATGTATCTGAGACAATCTGTGTGACATGTTCCAGGCCGGCAAGGAGGCACCCCTAGCCACGGGAGAATCTGGCATCACAGTCATCAACACAATCAAGTGCAATATCTCACTTACCTCCCCTTTCTATACTGGCAACATCAGCACCCACCAGGTGAGATCACTGAGCTTATTGTTACACACAAACCAATAAAGTGTTCCTTAAAGTATTCAAAGACCAAATGATCATTTGACACTGACCCTTTTGGCAGTGTCACTGAAAGTCAAGTGAGCCTATGTCTTTTCAAGGTGTCCGTGTCAAGCAGCTTTTTTACATTTTTGACATGTTGTCCGAAACTTCTTGGTTCACGAGGCTGAAATTTTGTGCATCTGATCCCAGCAATGCTGTCTGTAAATGCTGCTCACAGAGTTAGGGAACTCGTGAAGATCCGGGGTAGAATAGGTCTTCAGCAACCCATGCTTGCCCTAAAAGGCGACTGTGTTTGCCGTAAAAGGCGACTAATAGGATTGGGTGGTCAGGCTGGCTGATTTGGTTGATGCATGTCATCGGTCCCAATTGCATGGATCGATGCTCATGATGTCAATCACTGGACTGTCTGGTCCAGGCTCGATTATTTACAGACTGCCGTCATATAGATGGAATATTGCTGAGTGCAGCGTTAAACAACAAACAAACAAACGCGGAATGAGGGTCTGTTGGCCATGTGGCAAAATGGCCACCACTGCATTCATACTGACTATCTTATATTTGTCCAAGCCATTTTTGCATGTATGAAGAATCATTATGAAATTTAATAATCAGTAAGTATATGGAATATGATATACTGCAGGTTTTTTTCAAATTAGATCTCTGACCCAGTTATGAACATGTTTAAGAAGTTTGAATCCTATTGTCAATAAGGCCACTACAGCAGACATATTAAAAAATCTATTTATGGCAATTGCGTTGTCATTTTTTCCAAACAGTTTTGGGGCGGTCGGGTAGCCTAGTGGTTAAAGCGTTTGCTCTTCACGCCGGAGACCCGGGTTCGATTCCCGACATGGGTAAAATGTGTGAAGCCCATTTCTGGTGTCCCCCGCCGTGATATTGCTGGAATATTGCTAAAAGCGGCGTAAAACCATACTCACTCACTCCAAACAGTTTTGAATTTTGTGCATATGTAGTTGGCAGTGGGTTTCACACAGTTTTTTAACTTATTGTTTGCGTTTTGAAGGTAACCAATTGGACTTTGGTTCAAATGAGGATAGGTTTTTGTATAACTCATAAACTGTTCAATATTTCCGTATGATTTCTTGCATTATATTTTGTGGTGTTATGTTGAATCCCCTTCTCTCAGTATGCAGGTATGTACCGACATCAGAGCGGCAGCATGTCGGTGTCTGCCGCCTGTGAGCAGGACAAGACAAGCTCCGTGACGGACACCTTCCTGTTTGATGCAGCCACACCATACCGCATTGTCATCATGACGGATTCTCAAGGTCACATGACCTTGAAGCAGGCATGTGGTTGATAAGTTCATTTGTCATAGATTATTTTAGTCGTTTTGCTTAAAATAAGTCAAATTATCAAAATGCTAGGCTATTAATATTAAAAGTTTTGGTAGATATAATTGAATTTAAAACACTGAATTGTGTGAAAATCCAATGAGAGGCTTCATTATGAAACCCCTGGACAGCAAAATTTCAATGTAGAAATGATCTGATACGCCAACATCCAACTACCATATTCGACGTAATAAGCGCCCACGGCGATATTTGCTAATATATTGGCAAGTGAACAATCCCAATTAGCACCCCTTCCGATTAATCAATGTAAACAAGACTTATTTATTCGTGTATAATACGCACTCATGTGTTATATGCACCCTTAATTATGGGCAATTAAATTCTGGAAAAATATATCTGTCGTATATAAACAGTTCAGACCGTCAGCATGAACCACGAAATTTGTCTTTCAACTCTGTTTTTTTTCCACCAAAATAATATTCTAATAAGAGCACCCTATTTCTAATTTTGAGAGTGCCCTGGGCGGTTATTACGTCGAATACGATATTATTAAAGATTGTTGTTGATTTTAATCCATGTTCACAAGTTCAGCATTTTTGTCATATTGTCTCAATACAATCCCTTGATTACATTTTCATCAGCCATTTTCATTCCTGAAATTTTGTCCTTCAGTTCCTAGACAAAAGGACAAAACCCAGTAATGGACAGGCCGATGTCAGGTAACTATTACGTCATTTTGTCTTTACAAGTATTTGTCCCCATTTCAGGTTCATTTTTTAATGTTGGACATGACCGCCTCCGTGGTCTAGTGGTAGAGTGTCTGCCCGGAGAGCGGAAGGTCAGGAGTTCGATCCCTGACCGCGTCATACCAAAAGACGTTAAAAGATGGTACTTGTTGTTACCCTGTCTGGCGCTCGGCATTAAGGGGCTAAAACAAGGACTGGTCGGCTCGGAGTCAGTATACTGTGTCTGAGTGGGGTATTCATGTTAAAAATGGTATCTCAGTGAGCTAGCACTATGAATAGTACAAGCAGCCATACAAACACATACACGTACATGCATGTCGCTATATAAGTGCAATAATCTTGGACGCGACGTTAAACCCAATTTCATCTCACCTAATGGACATTGGCGCTGCTCGCTCGTCACACCGAAGGCCTGGGTTCGATTCCCCACATGGTTACTATACAATGGTGTCCCCCTGCCATGATATTGGTGGAATATTGCTACAAGTGGCATAAAACCATACTCACTCACTCATTCGAAGACTGTAACATCATTACGTCCATGCAGAGTGGCCAGCCATGGGTACAAGACGATGACTGGCCAGATGGATGGGTTCTAGAATGAGTGACGTTATATCTGTCCATGATTGTTCCAGTGTTGTCAGCAACCTGCCATATACCAACAGTTCCCAAAGAGTCAGACTGGTGCCAATGAAAGAGAAGGAGGTGGCAGGGACGCCTGTCTACCTCAACATCAGCCGAGACAACGCTACTGCGTACACTAGCATGGAGCCAGCAGTGTGAGTTAACATCTAATTGAGGGGGAAGACATTAGGGCTGGGACGATACACCAACTGTGCGATCCGATACGTATCACGATACCTTGCTCACGATCAGATATGTATCATGATACTTGCATGTGCTCTTATCTGTTTTTCACAGACAAGATGGCCAAATACCTGGCACACCAACAATTTACAGTTGGCAGTGTCAAGTATGGCGCAATAGATGAAAATATTTATGTTTTCACTCCTCATTTTCACTAGTAAGTAGTGTTTGGTGTAACATTATTTGTAGAATAAACTTAAGGTAAGCATCGATATTTTTTACTTTGTGCGCGATTGTGATTGATACTTGCACCGAGAAGTGGAAAAGCGCGATCCACCGATGCATCAATGTATCGTCCAATTACTGAAGACGGTAGTACCTGAACGTCAGCCGAACCAACCTTTACAATTTCAGCGAAATTATCACCATATCATGAACCAAATTTCGCAATATGATTAAGTGAAATATATTACAAATTTTATCACCAGTAATTTAAGCTTGACCTTGCTCCAGCATTGAGAACAATACATCTAAATAATAATCCCTAGTTTGAGCTAGTGGTGCAAACTTTTACACAATTTAAAGAGTACCAGCAGCAAAAGATGATATGTGATATGAGCCTTTGATCAGCAAGGGATAAACAAATGTACACTTGTACACAGTGCAGGAGTTTACCTAGACATGCTCAGAGGCTGATATTCAGCCCCCAAATCTGCAGCAAATGTCAATACAAATTCCATGATTGGAAACAACATTGTAGTTATAATAAATGCAACAAAAACCATTCTGTATTCATAAGAAATCTCTGTAAAAAGCTGATTTGATTGTATGATTCCGACTATCATGTCACAAACACATGCAAAGGCAAGAAAATTGTTAACCCTGAAGAAACACGTTAACGAATGGTACAAATCAAAATAAGGAATTGCATGTGACATTATTTTTGTCACTGATGCATCAAATTTGGAAATGTCCTCCACATGTCTACCACATGCATACCACTTATTGAAAGCTTTACTTGAATGTTTATAACTAATGTGATGGTTTTGTAAGGTGATGTGTATTTCATTGATAACAGGACCAATATAGAGGAAGAGGCTTCAATGCTTAGTTTAACATTACTGCATTGAATGCAGTGTTGATTACAATGTTAAAATACTTCTGAATTCAGGAAAATAAAAACTTTAATAAAATCCAATTTATCAACGATGTAATTTTCCCCAGTTTTCCTGCCAGCAGCACTTAATTTGGAATCCTAAATACATCCGTGGTGTGTGTAGTATGTAGTGACAGGGAGAGTCCATGTTGCAGGTACAAGGTGTCCCTCCCGCTACAGACCCCAGGGGACACATGGAAGGACCAGGCAGGCTTGGTGACAGTGCTGTCCGGGGCCACATACACCCTGGCCCTTGTCAACAAAAACTCTGCCGCGGACTTTAACGATGAGGTAAGACCCGAGATTTCACTAACTGCCACTCTACCGCAGACTTTAACGATGAGGTCAGACCCGAGTCTTCACTAAAGGAAACACTGCCACAGACTTCAACAATGAGGTAAGACCGAAGCCTTCACCAACTGCCACTCTGCCGCAGACTTTAACGATGAGGTAAGACCCGAGATTTCACCAATGGAAACACTGCCACAGACTTCAACAATGAGGTAAGACCCAAGCCTTCACTAATGGAAACTCTGTGCAGACTTCAACAATGAGGTAAGACCGAAGCCTTCACCAACTGCCACTCTGCCGCAGACTTTAACGATGAGGTAAGACCCGAGATTTCACCAACGGAAACACTGCCACGAACTTCAATGATGAGGCAAGACAATCTTCTGTTCTAGGTGTACTTGACAATCTTCTGTTCTAGGTGTACTTGACAATCTTCTGTTCTAGGTGTACTTGACAATCTTCTGTTCTAGGTGTACTTGACAATCTTCTGTTCTAGGTGTACTTGACAATCTTCTGTTCTAGGTGTACATGACAATCTTCTGTTCTAGGTGTACATGACAATCTTCTGTTCTAGGTGTATATGACAATCTTCTGTTCTAGGTGTACATGACAATCTTCTCTTCTAGGTGTACATGACAATCTTCTCTTCTAGGTGTACTTGACAATCTTCTGTTCTAGGTGTACATGACAATCTTCTGTTCTAGGTGTACATGACAATCTTCTGTTCTAGGTGTACATGACAATCTTCTGTTCTAGGTGTACTTGACAATCTTCTGTTCTAGGTGTACTTGACAATCTTCTGTTCTAGGTGTACTTGACAATCTTCTGTTCTAGGTGTACATGACAATCTTCTGTTCTAGGTGTACTTGACAATCTTCTGTTCTAGGTGTACTTGACAATCTTCTGTTCTAGGTGTACTTGACAATCTTCTGTTCTAGGTGTACTTGACAATCTTCTGTTCTAGGTGTACATGACAATCTACTGTTCTAGGTGTACTTGACAATCTTCTGTTCTAGGTGTACTTGACAATCTTCTGTTCTAGGTGTACTTGACAATCTTCTGTTCTAGGTGTACTTGACAATCTTCTGTTCTAGGTGTACTTGACAATCTTCTGTTTTAGGTGTACATGACAATCTTCTGTTCTAGGTGTACTTGACAATCTTCTGTTCTAGGTGTACTTGACAATCTTCTGTTCTAGGTGTACATGACAGTCTTCTGTTCTAGGTGTACATGACAATCTTCTGTTCTAGGTGTACATGACAATCTTCTGTTCTAGGTGTACTTGACAATCTTCTGTTCTAGGTGTACTTGACAATCTTCTGTTCTAGGTGTACATGACAATTTTCTGTTCCAGGCGGATCTGACAATCTTCTGTTCTAGGTGTACATGACAATCTTCTGTTCTAGGTGTACATGACAATTTTCTGTTCCAGGCGGATGTGACAATCTTCTGTTCTAGGTGTACTTGACAATCTTCTGTTCCAGGTGTACTTGACAATCTTCTGTTCCAGGTGTACTTGACAATCTTCTGTTCTAGGTGTACTTGACAATCTTCTGTTCTAGGTGTACATGACAGTCTTCTGTTCTAGGTGTACATGACAATCTTCTGTTCTAGGTGTACTTGACAATCATCTGTTCTAGGTGTACTTGACAATCTTCTGTTCTAGGTGTACTTGACAATCTTCTGTTTTAGGTGTACATGACAATCTTCTGTTCTAGGTGTACTTGACAATCTTCTGTTCTAGGTGTACTTGACAATCTTCTGTTCTAGGTGTACATGACAATTTTCTGTTCCAGGCGGATGTGACAATCTTCTGTTCTAGGTGTACATGACAATCTTCTGTTCTAGGTGTACTTGACAATCTTCTGTTCTAGGTGTACTTGACAATCTTCTGTTCTAGGTGTACTTGACAATCTTCTGTTCTAGGTGTACATGACAATCTTCTGTTCCAGGCGGATGTGACAATCTTCTGTTCTAGGTGTACTTGACAATCTTCTGTTCTAGGTGTACTTGACAATCTTCTGTTCTAGGTGTACTTGACAATCTTCTGTTCCAGGCGGATGTGACAATCTTCTGTTCTAGGTGTACTTGACAATCTTCTGTTCTAGGTGTACTTGACAATCTTCTGTTCTAGGTGTACATGACAATCTTCTGTTCCAGGCGGATGTGACAATCTTCTGTTCTAGGTGTACTTGACAATCTTCTGTTCTAGGTGTACTTGACAATCTTCTGTTCTAGGTGTACTTGACAATCTTCTGTTCTAGGTGTACTTGACAGTCTTCTGTTCTAGGTGTACTTGACAATCTTCTGTTCTAGGTGTACATGACAGTCTTCTGTTCTAGGTGTACTTGACAATCTTCTGTTCTAGGTGTACTTGACAATCTTCTGTTCTAGGTGTACTTGACAATCTTCTGTTCTAGGTGTACTTGACAATCTTCTGTTCTAGGTGTACTTGACAATCTTCTGTTCTAGGTGTACTTGACAATCTTCTGTTCTAGGTGTACATGACAGTCTTCTGTTCTAGGTGTACTTGACAATCTTCTGTTCTAGGTGTACTTGACAATCTTCTGTTCTAGGTGTACTTGACAATCTTCTGTTCTAGGTGTACTTGACAATCTTCTGTTCTAGGTGTACTTGACAATCTTCTGTTCTAGGTGTACTTGACAATCTTCTGTTCTAGGTGTACTTGACAATCTTCTGTTCTAGGTGTACTTGACAATCTTCTGTTCTAGGTGTACATGACAGTCTTCTGTTCTAGGTGTACTTGACAATCTACTGTTCTAGGTGTACATGACAGTCTTCTGTTCTAGGTGTACTTGACAATCTTCTGTTCCAGGCGGATGTGACAATCTTCTGTTCTAGGTGTACTTGACAATCTTCTGTTCCAGGCGGATGTGACAGTCTTCTGTTCTAGGTGTACTTGACAATCTTCTGTTCTAGGTGTACTTGACAATCTTCTGTTCTAGGTGTACTTGACAATCTTCTGTTCTAGGTGTACTTGACAATCTTCTGTTCTAGGTGTACTTGACAATCTTCTGTTCCAGGCGGATGTGACAGTCTTCTGTTCTAGGTGTACTTGACAATCTTCTGTTCTAGGTGTACTTGACAATCTTCTGTTCTAGGTGTACTTGACAATCTTCTGTTCTAGGTGTACTTGACAATCTTCTGTTCTAGGTGTACTTGACAATCTTCTGTTCTAGGTGTACTTGACAATCTTCTGTTCCAGGCGGATGTGACAGTCTTCTGTTCTAGGTGTACTTGACAATCTTCTGTTCTAGGTGTACTTGACAATCTTCTGTTCTAGGTGTACTTGACAATCTTCTGTTCTAGGTGTACTTGACAATCTTCTGTTCTAGGTGTACTTGACAATCTTCTGTTCTAGGTGTACTTGACAATCTTCTGTTCTAGGTGTACTTGACAATCTTCTGTTCTAGGTGTACTTGACAATCTTCTGTTCTAGGTGTACTTGACAATCTTCTGTTCTAGGTGTACTTGACAATCTTCTGTTCTAGGTGTACTTGACAATCTTCTGTTCTAGGTGTACTTGACAATCTTCTGTTCTAGGTGTACTTGACAATCTTCTGTTCTAGGTGTACTTGACAATCTTCTGTTCTAGGTGTACTTGACAATCTTCTGTTCTAGGTGTACTTGACAATCTTCTGTTCTAGGTGTACTTGACAATCTTCTGTTCCAGGTGTACTTGACAATCTTCTGTTCTAGGTGTACTTGACAATCTTCTGTTCTAGGTGTACTTGACAATCTTCTGTTCTAGGTGTACTTGACAATCTTCTGTTCTAGGTGTACTTGACAATCTTCTGTTCTAGGTGTACATGACAATCTACTGTTCTAGGTGTACTTGACAATCTTCTCTTCTAGGTGTACTTGACAATCTTCTGTTCTAGGTGTACTTGACAATCTTCTGTTCCAGGCGGATGTGACAATCTTCTGTTCTAGGTGTACATGACAATCTTCTGTTCTAGGTGTACTTGACAATCTTCTGTTCCAGGTGTACTTGACAATCTTCTGTTCTAGGTGTACTTGACAATCTTCTGTTCTAGGTGTACTTGACAATCTTCTGTTCTAGGTGTACTTGACAATCTTCTGTTCTAGGTGTACTTGACAATCTTCTGTTCTAGGTGTACATGACAATCTTCTGTTCTAGGTGTACTTGACAATCTTCTGTTCTAGGTGTACTTGACAATCTTCTGTTCTAGGTGTACTTGACAATCTTCTGTTCTAGGTGTACATGACAATCTTCTGTTCTAGGTGTACTTGACAATCTTCTGTTCTAGGTGTACTTGACAATCTTCTGTTCTAGGTGTACTTGACAATCTTCTGTTCTAGGTGTACTTGACAATCTTCTGTTCTAGGTGTACTTGACAATCTTCTGTTCTAGGTGTACTTGACAATCTTCTGTTCTAGGTGTACTTGACAATCTTCTGTTCTAGGTGTACTTGACAATCTTCTGTTCTAGGTGTACTTGACAATCTTCTGTTCTAGGTGTACTTGACAATCTTCTGTTCTAGGTGTACTTGACAATCTTCTGTTCCAGGCGGATGTGACAGTCTTCTGTTCTAGGTGTACTTGACAATCTTCTGTTCTAGGTGTACTTGACAATCTTCTGTTCTAGGTGTACTTGACAATCTTCTGTTCTAGGTGTACTTGACAATCTTCTGTTCCAGGCGGATGTGACAATCTACTGTTCTAGGTGTACTTGACAATCTTCTGTTCTAGGTGTACTTGACAATCTTCTGTTCTAGGTGTACTTGACAATCTTCTGTTCTAGGTGTACTTGACAATCTTCTGTTCTAGGTGTACTTGACAATCTTCTGTTCTAGGTGTACTTGACAATCTTCTGTTCCAGGCGGATGTGACAATCTACTGTTCTAGGTGTACTTGACAATCTTCTGTTCTAGGCGTACTTGACAATCTTCTGTTCTAGGTGTACTTGACAATCTTCTGTTCTAGGTGTACTTGACAATCTTCTGTTCTAGGTGTATATGACAATCTTCTGTTCTAGGTGTACTTGACAATCTTCTGTTCTAGGTGTACTTGACAATCTTCTGTTCTAGGTGTACTTGACAATCTTCTGTTCTAGGTGTACTTGACAATCTTCTGTTCTAGGTGTACTTGACAATCTTCTGTTCCAGGCGGATGTGACAATCTACTGTTCTAGGTGTACTTGACAATCTTCTGTTCTAGGCGTACTTGACAATCTTCTGTTCTAGGTGTACTTGACAATCTTCTGTTCTAGGTGTACTTGACAATCTTCTGTTCTAGGTGTACTTGACAATCTTCTGTTCTAGGTGTACTTGACAATCTTCTGTTCCAGGCGGATGTGACAATCTACTGTTCTAGGTGTACTTGACAATCTTCTGTTCTAGGCGTACATGACAATCTTCTGTTCTAGGTGTACTTGACAATCTTCTGTTCTAGGTGTACTTGACAATCTTCTGTTCTAGGCGGATGTGACAGTCTTCTGTTCTAGGTGTACATGACAATCTTCTGTTCTAGGTGTACTTGACAATCTTCTGTTCTAGGTGTACTTGACAATCTTCTGTTCTAGGTGTACTTGACAATCTTCTGTTCTAGGTGTACTTGACAATCTTCTGTTCTAGGTGTACTTGACAATCTTCTGTTCTAGGTGTACTTGACAATCTTCTGTTCTAGGTGTACTTGACAATCTTCTGTTCTAGGTGTACTTGACAATCTTCTGTTCTAGGTGTACTTGACAATCTTCTGTTCTAGGTGTACTTGACAATCTTCTGTTCCAGGCGGATGTGACAGTGTACCAGGGTCTGGCTGAAAATCAGGTGTCCATGTTCCTGCTAGTTCCACAGTATGTCATCATCACGATCGGGGAGGTCCTCTTCTCCGTCACTGGCCTGTCCTTTGCATATTCTCAGGTAGGAGTCCATAACCTGATTCTCTTTGTATCAGCAGAGATCGGAATTTAGTTTTCATTGTTGTTTTGTGCAACTAGTTCACTCATACGAAACAAAAAGGTGGATAAACTGCATCTTTATTACAATTAGGAGCGACATTTCATTGTAGGTTCTAACACTATTATTAGGGGGCACGGGTGGCCCAGTCGTCTAAGGCGCCGCGATTCGCTGTGCAGAGTTGCGTCCCTTGGGCACGCCAGAAACCTATGATTGTGGGTTCGAATCCCGGTTCGCCCCAATTATGTTTCTAGGTTTGTCAGCACCATACCCGTGCTCGTGGGTTTCACCGAAGTGGTAAACGTCTGAGACCTGCATCACTTCGGGCTTTCCTCCCACATTAAGCTGACACGCCGCGATATAACTGGAATACTGTTCAAAGCGGCGTAAAACCCAACTCACTCACTCACTCACTCACTCTAACACTATTAACCCATAAGTGTTAGAACCTACATCACCCCTAACTGTAATAAAGAAATTGTTCACCCATATATCTTCTCCTTACTTAGTACTCCAACTTCTCAATGACTCTCAAAGAAGCCATACAAAACACTTTTCCTTCACATACTGCACTAACCCTAATACGTTGTAGGGACTAAAGGTGTCTCATTATGTATTTTATTTTTCAGTAATTCATTATAAGCATTATAATAGTTGTTCCACTGTTTTTATCACCATGGCAATAATGTAGGGGGATATAGTCATCAAATGATCTGTCCGTCTGTCGTGCCATCCGAATTATGTTTCTGGAGCATGATTTGAAAACTATGAACAATGTTTCATTGCAGCTTGGTACATGTGTTAAGGGGCTCTTGCTATTGTGGGGGGGGGGGGGGCTTGTCATCGTTTGCAACGAGGACTTTAGCAATGTGATGTCATAAAACACATTGGCACAAATTATTGAAGATGCCTGGTACCTATGTATCTGAAGGCTCCAAATGGCCTCCTTCATCAACCCTGGTACCTATGTATCTGTAGGCTCAAAATGGCCTCCTTCGTCAACCCTGGTACCTATGTATCTGAAGGCTCCAAATGGCCTCCATTGACAACCCTGGTATCTATGTATCTGAAGGCTCCAAATGGCCTCCATTGACAACCCTGGTACCTATGTATCTGTAGGCTCCAAATGGCCTCCATAGTCAACCCTGGTATCTATGTATCTGAAGGCTCCAAATGGCCTCCATTGACAACCCTGGTACCTATGTATCTGTAGGCTCAAAATGGCCTCCTTCATCAACCCTGGTACCTATGTATCTGTAGGCTCAAAATGGCCTCCTTCGTCAACCCTGGTACCTATGTATCTGAAGGCTCCAAATGGCCTCCATTGACAACCCTGGTATCTATGTATCTGAAGGCTCCAAATGGCCTCCATTGACAACCCTGGTATCTATGTATCTGAAGGCTCCAAATGGCCTCCATTGACAACCCTGGTATCTATGTATCTGAAGGCTCCAAATGGTCTCCATAGTAACACTTAGTATGTCTTTGTCTGTAGGCTCCCAATGGCCTGAAGTCGGTGGTGCAGGCTGCATGGTTGCTGACAACAGCGGTGGGGGATCTGGTCGTCGTCATTGTTGCCGAGGTGCAGCTGCTGCCCAGCCAGGTGAGCTAAACTAGAGAACTCCGCTTCAGCTTCAGGGTTAGAATAGGTCCAAACAAGAGATACTCGTCATACGAGGCAGGTGAATGGATCAGGTTGTCAAACTCTGTGACTATTTTATCGAAAAAATATATATTCTTGGAATAAATGATTATGCTTCAGACTAATAAAAGAAATATTAAGTTTCTGCCACAAAATATACATTGTTGCAAAATGATTTTTAAAAAGTGTGCATGGTTCAAATGAAAAAAGATCTGGTTTTGCAGCTGAAGCTGAAAAAAAGTCTAGTCTCCCTACAGAATCCCAGGGCCCCTCCCAGAATATCAAATGATCAGTCCTTTACTCAGTCAATATATGGAATACTATTTGTTTGTTTACCTAGTTATTAAAGATAGCTGTATTTAATGGTGGCTGTTTGCTGTGTTTAGACTGCAGAATTCTTCCTGTTTGCTGCTCTCATGGGTGTTGCCACAATCATCTTCTCCATCATGACGCTGTTCTATAAATACCTGTATGTCACATCATCAGCCAGTGGGAGTGACACTGACGAGGCCGGACTGGTGGATGAGGACAAGGAGGAGATACCGCTCAAAGATAAGGATGGCAAACAAGCATAAGTTACATCACTGGAAGATAAGGACAATTGCAAAAATACGGATACATTTGATAAGGATAACAAACATGTCCTAAGGGATATAACACTCAATGATAGGGATTGAACAATGTTATAACAAATATGGATATATCACTGGAAGATAAGGATAACAAACAAGTATGTTATAATGGATATAACTCACAAAGATAGGTGGTGTAACCTTGTTACCATGGTTACAGGAACATGGACATCTTGTTTTAAAATTAGCATGGGAGCATTAGATTGATGTTAGAGGAAATAGAATCTTGTCTTCTGGAAGAAACTATTCAAAATACCGTTCTAACTCTCCTAATTATACTGGCGTTCATGGAAAGCCACTCTCAAAGCATATATGAAAACTACAAAGGTTGCCTGATGCTTTGTTTTTTTCATGTGGACATTTTTTCCATTCACAATGACAAGGCCACACTTGATCATATAACGGGTCACAGATTTTTGGAGTAGGTTAACTTTGAAACTGTACTTTGCATTAAATATCAAAATATATATTTTGGGGGCATTTTTTTATTTTATTTATTTTTATTTTTTATAGTTTTTGGGGAGACCATAGATGCTATATCTGTGAAGGAAATAGGACATTTGGCATCAGTTTAATGTTACAAGTATTAATTTCTATTCTCTTCATTAGAAGGTTTGCTGTGACTGTCTACTTTTCTATGCATTTTACCATTTTCGTCAGAACTTTGTATTTGTAGTTCTATTTTTCCTAATTCAGCAAAAAGAGCGCATCCTGGCAAATGAAAAATAATTTGAATTATGAGGTCAAATTATTCATAAACTTAAGTGTGGCCTAAATGTACTGTCAGTTGTGTTGTACATCTAGATGCCTGCAGTAATTATATGCAAGTTCTGTACGGGTGTGGGGATCAGAGTTGATGACTTGTAGGAACAGGGGAACAGCTTGGTGTTGTAGGAATCTAGGAGGGGCGAGGGATGTGGCGGTGGCCGGTGGGCGGAAGTCCCGTGGGTGGAAGTCCGGTGTGTACACTGCCCATTCTGAGTTTGTTTGTTTGTTTGTTTGTTTGTTTGTTTGATGTTTAACGCCGCAACCAGCAATATTCAAGCTATATGACAGCGGTCTATAAATAATCGAGTTTGGACCAGACATTCCAGTGAATGACATCATGAGCATCAATCTACGCAAGTGTATATTAATTAGTTAATTTAGTTAGAGTCAAATCAAAATATTTTCCTCTCGATGGATTAACTAAGACTTTTAGTATAGTGTTCACTGATGTTGACTGAGTACAAAACAGCTGGATTTATTTCTGTTGCAATTTGTTTAGGGTCAAACTCTATTTCTCCTGGCCTATTGCTGGAATATCGCAGTGTAAAACGCACTCACTCACTCACTGACTCTTCAATCAAGTGGGCAGTGATTGTAAGTACCTGAGATTAGTTGGGTTGATCCTGTTTATCCATGGTTGCAATGCCACACGTGTATCAGAGTGGACATATGGATGCTGATGTACATGGCTTGAGATTATGGTTGTGAATGTTTTGTTCCAGATATTTGTAGTATTATGTGAATGTGTTTACACTGAGTTCATGCCTGAATCATGTTGTATGTACGTATATTCTGAATGATCTCATTTGATAGATTGTTGACCAGTCTTATTAAAACAGATCTTAGTTCTTGCTACCGCTCAACAAAGGCCTGAGGATATTACAGGTCATTTCTTTGACCCACCAATGAAATGACTAACAAGAAGTTGACATTAGCCAATAAGAAAGCAGTTTTCTCGAGCTTTACAGCAAGTTTCAAACTGGCACTTGCATGCTACACAACGCTTTGAACAATTTTTTGACAGAGTTTTCGATTCAAAAGATTAAAACTTAACAAAGGAACATTCTGGAATGTTTAATAGATGGCCTAGATTGTATGGCAGTACTTCCCACGGACTATACAAAGTCTCTTCCATGCCAATGTTTATCCCACTGAAGAGAGAGACAAATGATGTTTTGACGGAATCAGTCGTACAATCCACAACTGTCGTTAGGAATACACCGTGTTAACCTTTTCGAGGTTGCATGATTAACACATTCTGACCGCCCCTTTCCTGATGTGATAAGCAATCTTTGTTTAGCAGTAGAAAGAACCAAGATCTGAATTGAATAAGATTGGATTGTTCACAGATATAGTCACTAAGAATGAAGCCTGTTTAACTGGTACAGAGAAAAACATGGTGTGATATTTAATGACATCTATACATTAATATTCTTTTTATCAACTTTGTTTTATAGGTAGTTTAAATGGCATAGTTATACACATTCAATAAGCATAATATTGTATAAATATATTATATTTGTAAATAGGAAAGATTTGATAGAAATCTATCTATGGTATTGGAGCAGTACGGTGGCCAGGTTGAGTGTACACTCATCACACTGAAAGTCTGGGTTTGATTCTCCACATATAATGCCCTCTCCTTCACTGCCTGGAATCTCACTGGGAGCCTTGCTAACTCCTCTTTTGTGCCTGTAAGCATGACGTTTACAGCATAGCCTTTTTATACTGTTCTGTAAGGATGCCAGACTCTTCACTTGTTTCCGGGGGCATTGGTGGCCCAGTCGTCTAAGGTGCCGCGATTCTGAGACCTGCATCACTTCGGGCTTTCCTCCCACATTAAGCTGACACGCCGCGATATAACTGGAATACTGTTAAAAGCGGCGTTATACCAAACTCACTCACTCACTCACTCACTCACTTGTTTCCCTTTTACGCCTGTTTATTGGCTATGTTCTATATTGCCACAGTTTTAGGGAACAGTTGTACAGCCTTCGAATTTACGAAATTCACGCTTGTCTGCTGGCCCAAGGCTAGTAAGTTGTGCTGAGGACAAGTGGAAATCCAAAGATGATGGTCCTCTCTGATTTGTAGCATTTTAGGGCAATAATTCTGAACCAGTTCTCAATGCTTCAGTTTGACTTGGGCCTGTGGGCATGGCTGCTATGGAACATGTTTTCAGGAAATATTGCTGTTTGTGCGATGTATTCTGAGTGTTCATTGGTCGGACCATTCTCTGGTTTTATTCTCGCTGGATCCAGGCAGTGGCCTGATTCGTGGTTTATAAATAGCAGCTCAACCAGAAAGCGGTTGTATGTGTTGACGATGATGGAGGAGTACAATGTACACAAACCCCTGAAGTATTGACAATGGTAGAAACTGTCAAATATGTGTAAATACTAGGGCTGGGACGGGTTACTCGGGTACTTGGGTCGGGTGGGTCCTGATTAGGACCCGGGTCCCACAGGACTACACAAACCCGTGGTTAGTCACGTGATATTTTGTTTAATGATAAACAGTATCTAATACTCTATGTTTAAACTACAAGTCACTAATGTTCGCAGTTCTTCCTGACTACTACGCCCATTCCTTCTGACTTTTATATGTTTGAATAAAAAAAATTCAGTCAACTTCTGTGTATACACCAGATCGTTTCATGCATGTATCTAAACACATTTTACCAGAGCTACATCAAACGTTTCTCAATCGGACATTTTGTACCTACTTCTTGAGACCTACAGAAGGTACCCGGGTAGGGTCGGGTAATAGGGGGGTGGGTACCCGGATAGTAAATTTGGACTCGTCCCAGCCCTAGTAAATACAGTTGTTCAGGATTGAAATGTTGGAAGGTAGCCTAGTGGTTAAAGTAGTTGATCGTCATGCCAAAGACCCAGGTTCGATTCCCCACATGGGTACAAAGTGTGAAGCCTATTTCTGGTGTCCCCCGCTGTGATATTGCTTGAATATTGCTAAAAGCAGGTAAAACCAAACTCACTCACTCACTGTAGATATCCAGTTGGAAGTGGTTATGTTGAAATATCTATTCCTGGCCAAAAATTATAACAGTGTTCGTGATCCATCAATCATGTTTTAATTAGTTGTATATTTGATTTTACAAGGAAAACATGATTCACTCGACAGGCAAACTGCAATCTCATTAAAATCAGATCACGGTAGCGAGCATTAAGATCTGAGTTTAATATTGGGCAAACTGCAATGTCAAACTCGCTGGACCAGTGAAATGTATTTTTCAGTCTTAAATCACATGACCAATCACCAACCAGTCACAGTGTTATGATTAGTGGGGCTTTTATCAATTACAGAATATATCTATTTTACTGTAGACTTGACACAAGAATATAGGCAACACCCACCTTTAAGCCCCAAGTATATTTATATACAGTGTATATTGTAAATTATGTAGTCATAATTATTCTGTTGTATTGTAAATTATGTAGTCATAATTATTCTGTTGTACATGTGTAATTATATGGACATAATGTATGTGAATTGTCTATATTTTCTATATAATTAAAGGTGTTATTAGGGTAGTTTTTGGTATGATGAGATGAAAAGTGTGTCTGTATTCATGGTCCAATGAAACAGCCTTCACGTTGTTCGTTCAATATGTTTTTCCAAAACTGCCATGTTGTATTATATGCGCTTCCAGACATTCTTCTCAAGACTTGACTTAAAACCAAGCAGCTTATATTTCACATTCCAAGTTAGAACTTATTGATGTACGTTCAGTGATGGACAAGACCAAGGGAACACAAAGTTATTGCATATTTAATTTATGTTTACTGCTGTGTTCAATAAAATGTTCAAATCAACAAAATATTCCTACAAGCCACAACAAATACTTATATTTTGACTGAATGTTTTTTAACATAACTGTTTGCACAGATTGTGTGCATTCATCAGGATAAAGGCAGTTGAGTTTTTGGGGTTTATTTTTGCAAGCTCAGCGGAATTTGGAATTGTTTTTGAGCCTTGTCTAATGTCTCATGGGGTACTTGAAACGTCTCCATTATCTTCATGCACATCACGGGGGCACGGGTGGCCCAGTCGTCCAAGGCGCCGCTATTCGCTGTGCAGAGTTGCATCCCTTGGGCACGCCAGAAACCTATGATTGTGGGTTCGAATCCCGGTTCACCCCAATTATGTTTCTAGGTGTTGTCAGCACCATACCCGTGCTCGTGGGTTTCACAGAATGAGTAAATGTCTGAGACCTGCAGCACTTTGGGATTTAACCCACATTAAGCTGACACGCTGTGGTATAACTGGAATGTTGTTAAAAGCGGCATTAAACCCAACTCACTCACTCACTCACTCACTCATGCACATCACATTTACATGTTTGATGGGTACATGCCCTTTGGTAGCAGAAATCAGAGATCTAATTTGAATATACTACTCCAAAGAAGTTAGGAACACCAGATTGTTTCATTATACTCTAGTTAATCTGTCTTTGCATTCTTTCACATTACAATAGTAAACAAATTAACTATGGTAATGCAGAAGAATTGGTGTTCTTTAACTTCTTCTGAGTGTTTTATGTTCACCAACCTGTTGTTATAATTATTGATTTTGAAATAAATTTTGTATCCTGCATCAAAGGATGGAGCCTTTGAAACCTGGGGATGAGGCTTTGTTTCTTACCTTTCTCTTTGAGAATTTTTGTTATTTTATTCTGTTGCTGTTGTTACCATTATCTTACAAGACACTACATGCATAGGTGACCGACCGTATTTGAGTCTCAGCTGTTATTTTTATTATTTGTTATTTCATTCGATCATATTCAGTAAATACTATTAATACTTAACATTTTCTTATTGTTTTAATAGTATAGAATTAGAAATAGGATTAGAATATATACCACTCAAAAGAAGTTAAGGAACACCCGATTCTTTCATATCACTATAGTTAATCTCTCATGGCATTCCTTCATGAAAGAATTGTGCAGTCTTTAACATCTTTTGAGTAGAATATAATGTGTAAGTTGTCTTACACTAAATCTCAATTTGTCTTCCACTTTAAATATAAATCAAATTGTGGTATATACTCCACAAATAATGTCAAGGATCATTTCAGTGCATTATGCTGTTCATACAGCTGTGGTACAGTTGTATCTGACAGACGATACGGTGTAGTCCATGAGTGCTACAGACCTTGGATTACTCCTTCTAAAGGGGTTAAATTCCTGTGTCATGATATTATGCTCTGTTGTACATCATTTGTTCAATACATTTTCAGTTACCGTATTTGACGTAATAAGCGCCCCGGTCTAATAAGCGCCCACAGCGAAATTTGCTAGTATATTGGCAAGTGAACAATCCCAATTAGCACCCCTTCCGATTTATTAATGTCCACAAGACATTATTTATTCGTGTATAATACGCACTCATGTGTTATATGCACCCTTAATTAAATTCTGGAAACTATATCTGTCGTGTATAATACGCACAGACTTTTCTTTTGTATTATTTTAGGCTGTCAGCATAAACCACAAAATTTACAATCTTTCAACTCTGTTTTTTTTTTCTTCACCAAAATTATATTCTAATTAGAGCCCCCTATTTCTAATTTTGAGAGCGCCTTGGGTGCTTATTACATTGAATACGGTATTCCAGTTTAATAATGTGAGGTATACTTGTTACTTTAACAACTCTGTCTTAATAAATCTATTTTACTATCAAACTGCTTTCCTTGTCTGTGTGTTTGAATGTGTTGTGATGCTGATTCAGAAGTTAATCTTGCCCTCTATCCCCATCACCTGTAGTTTTCTCAATGTTCGGCCATAATAAATTATTTCTAAATTTTCATCCCTGCCTGTCCTGCTACCCAACACCCCACTGTTCCACGGGCCTGTCCCACATCTTACTGTCTCCAAGAAACAACAGATGAGGAAAATGTATTTCTTCTTTCTGTCCTTAATGAGAAGGGGCATGATTGGCCCAGTTGTCTAAGGTACTGCACACTAGAAACCTATGGTTGTGGGTTTCGAATCCCGGTTCGCCCAAATTATGTTTCTAGGTTTGTCAGCGCCATACCCATGGTGGGTTTCACCCAAGTGGTAAATGTCTGAGACTTTGAGTTGTCATGCCACATTAGCTGACACGCCTTGAAATATCTAGAATACTGTTCAAAGTGACATTAAACCCAACTCACTCACTCACTCCTCAATGAAAGACACCACATACCTGTTCCTTCCAAGTATTCATGTTTGTTTGTTGTTTAACGCCTCACTCAGCAATATTTCAGCTATATGACAGCTGTCTGTAAACAATCGAGTCTGGACCAAACAATCCAGTGATTGACATCATGAGTATCGATCCACGCAATTGGGATACGATGACATGCAGCGACCAAGTCAGCGAGCCTGACCACCTGATCCTGTTAGTAGCTTCTAATGGCAAGCATGATTGCTGATGACCAATTCTACCCGGATCTTCACAGGGTGCCATGGGTACATCAACAACCCAATATAACAATAACCAATAAGAACAAAGCCAAGATCATATTTAAGCGTCATTTTACTCACGCTTGTGAGTTCCAAAAACTCCACAAAAAACAACTTGAGGTACAAACAAACAATATTTCCCGCCTTTCAGCTCAGGAAATGTACAGCCAAACAAATAATCATGTACAAAATACAAAATACAAGTGCATGTGTCACAAAGATGGACTCCATGTGTTTTGATCACAATACAAAACACAGGGGAAATGTTACAATGAGTGATTCATGTGCCGCTGAGATGTACAAAATGCCGCTGTAAATGAAACAGGAAATACCTCAAAGAACGATCTGAAAGACTATATCTGACATGACTACTACCAATATTCCATGAGGAAAACAATGTCCCACCAATCAGTCTTTCATCTTTGAGACTGATGTCTTTTCTACAGCGCAGTTATTTATCATAAATTCTTTTTAATGGTTAAAAGATTATCTCTGAAATGCGACATTCAGATGAATTTCAAACATTTCTATCAGCTCAAAATGCATCTGATTCGGCTAAATAATAATAGTCTTGGTTCTCAGGCACCGGCCGCATCATCATAAAGTTTGCCGCACATTTTGTTTTTAATTCCATTTTTAGAAGAAAAAAATCCTTAAATACACATGTATTCCAAGTCCAACGCTAGTCAAATATTGTCTACCACTATTTTACTCAAGGAATACATTTATGTAGAGAGGCCCTTTCCCAGGTTGATCGTACACGACTGTTTGTTTGGTTACACAACTGTTTATTTGGTTACATACTAGTTTGCACAACCCCCCCAAAAAAGAAAAAGACACAGCCGCCCGCACAATATTTTCCAAAACCATTGCCTGAGAACCAATTCTTTTATCAAAGCCTTAAATCTTTGACAAAAAGACAAATTTTACAGTGTATGTTTTTGGCTAAATGTTTACAAGGACGTATGGTTGTGCACAGTGAAGGTGATGAACGAGTGAGACTGGATGGTACATGATTAATATTGACATGTAAAAACACCATGAGGTATGACAAGCAGATAGAGTGAGGTAATCACTAGACAGTGTAATGCTATGATACAGTATTGCCGGCAGCCAGGCCATGTATACACCTTTAACTTGCTCATGCTTGAACATGTGAGTGAGTGAGTGAGTGAGTGAGTGAGTATGGTTTTACGCCGCTTTTAGCAATATTCCAGCAATATCACGGCGGGGAACACCAGAAATGGGCTTCACACACTGTACCCATGTCGGGAATCGAACCCGGGTCTTCAGCGTGACGAGCGAACGCTTTAACCAATGGGCTACCCGACCGCCCCTTGAACATGGGAAAACATTGCAGGAAATGTACACATGTTGTCATAAAATCTCTCCAGTTTGAGAAACATCTATACTGAAATTTCATTGGTATGTATGTATTTCATTCGCAAACTTTGACAATCTAGCTGATGTGTTGTGATTAATAACTGCAATCTCTTTTAATTCACATCTTGGTTCTCGCTACCGCTAAACAAAGATCTGAGGACATCCCCTTGTGGGTCCTGTCAGAGTGATCTTTCATTGGACCAATCACAGCGTCGCTAATCAGATCAGGAAAGTGACAGTCGGAATGTGTTTTCCTATCATGCAACCATGAAAAGGTTTACACAGGGTATTCTGATTGACAGTTGCGGACTGTACGAGTGATTGTCTATCTCAATGGGATAAACATTTGAATGGAAGAGACTTTGCATAGCCTGATGGAAATACTGCCATACAATCTCTCCATCTATTAGACATTCCAGAATGTTCTTTTATTCAGTTTTCAAATTCTGAATCAGGAACTTTGACAAAATATTGTTCAAAAAGAAGTCTGGCATGCAAGTCACCAGTTTGAAACTAGTGCCATATAACTTGAGAAAGCTGCTTTCTGATTGGCTGATGTTGACTTCTTGTTAGTCATTTCATTGGTGGGTCAAGATTCGCGACCTGTAATGGGGTGTCCTCAGATCCTTGTTTAGCGCTAGCAAGAACTAAGATCGGATTTCAATGAGGCTGTGTTTCACAAAGCAATCTTAGTGCTAAGACAATCGTAACTCCCATACAATAACTTTGACTGAGGTTATTGTGCTAAGATCACTTTGTGGAACAGAGCCCTCATTTTGTGATTTGCGAATTATTTAGAATATACTTGCCCCACTGTCTCTATTTCTTTGTGAACATCTTAAAAGATCTTCCCTTAAGACTTAGGAAACTTCAGTGTTTCACTAAACTACACAAGATGAATACTAAGTCTAGACTAAGATGTCGACTGTTTGGTAGGTAGGTCTCTAAGCGTCTAGGATAATCTTACAGACTAGATAGGTTTTTCTATCAAATCTTTTCGCAAATGTCTGATCTTGTGATGAGTAGCTTTAATTGATTCATAACAACCCAAAACCCACCAGTGCATTGACTTTCCTATTGTTCAGATAAGTATTTAAACCTTCATGAAACTACTCTTAAAACGTTTCTATCATGAATATATCAAAGTTGTGAGAAAGAGTTAGAAGAAAATAATGCATGTAAAATACTGTGATTTGTGACAGGCTGTAAAGTCCTGCATAATGTCGTACATACATTTCTAAAGGCACTTTTTCTAATCAATCAAACATTTTGCGGAAACTACTTGTAAAATCTCCCATTAAGCCATCGTCATCAGAACAACTGTTCTCCACAGCAAAATAACAGTAATCTCAAAACAACAGCTGAAAATAATTGAATTATAAAACTATTTCTAGCTTTTTAAGTGTCACTTTTTAAAAAAGGATCACAAATTATATCAGTGCTGTATATCTATTTACACTTTCACCGGATTGATTAAAAAAGTTTAAGGAAGCAAAAACCAGGTTGACCTTTTAGTTCCCACAGACAAGACAATATGGATACAGAAATCTGCAGTTCAGTGCCCAAACTTCTTCACCAGCAACAGCTAGGTTAGCCAGATATCATTTAAACCCGTTTGAGTTAAAAGCTTCTACACACTTAGCAAAAAATAGAAAAATAGCACTATTACTAACTTGATATGCCCAATCCTCCTAATCTACAAACAGTGTGTTTGAAACCATGCATACCAAGTGCTTTAGTCTTAAAGTTTCAAGGTTAATTCCTGACGTTTTATCTCATGTGTCCTTAAAACTCACAATACCATTTATTTGGGATAAACAGTCCAAACTACATATATTCATAACACAAAAAGAACTATCAGCCACTTTAGATTTGACCAGGAATTTAACACTATTCCAAACTAACTGCCCTTTGTTGGCCAATTTAAAAATGTTGTTTTGTTCAAAATTGGTAATTTTCAAAGTTACTGTAACATTGCGTTCAATACTTTAATGGGAAATTAAGCAACAAATCCTCTTCCGCTTCATTGGCACTGTTATCAAAGCCATAGAATCAGTCAAAAATATAACAACATGAACTGGGACATATTGATTCCGAATTGGGAATATCTACTCACATTTGCTGCAGATTTGGAACAATTCCAGCAACATCCCTGGTTACTTCTATGTATGAGAGGTTACTCTTTGATACTCCATGTTATCAGTCTCTATTATTTAAATACCAGGGGGAAATGGTTTAGTTTTCATTTTTTGTGGCAATATGATATAAAATAATGCATATATTTACAAAGATTTCAAATTGTCTTAACCTGTTCATAACAAATATCGTACAATATGGCATCTGAGAGTTTAATAGCTGAATATTTCAGTAAATGGCACCACCTTACAAAATATATAACTTCTCAACACTACATCTTAGTAAGTTGTTAAGTATTGAAACTACAATCGCAATACCTCAATCTCCTGACAATTTGTCAGCATACACCGGGACTGAACCAGAGACAGGTGCTCTTGTGGCTGCTCTTGGAAGAGCATTGTCAGAATACAAGTTTTGACAGCTGAAGTAAGTTTCACATTGAAAACCCATCATACACACAATATTTCTTTTACAACATCAATTCTCTCATCCCAAGATGGCACTGCCCGTTTTGTTTGCAAGTTTATTTGTTCATAAAAAAATCTTTAGTCTAACAAAACAGAAGCACTAAGAATGTATAAGATTTTTGTCAATATTTCTCCTGATGGGTTTTCTCAAGAACAAGGCAGGCAATAACATTGCATATCTCACATCTGTTGAATATGAAAAATAACATCTTTCAAATAGGTAAACCTGATTCAGGCATGAATTTGTGTGAAATCTGTGGTGAAATTCAGGAGCACTTTGCAAATGGATTAACATGAAACTACATAGAATATTTATGGTGAACATCCCTAGGAATGATGCTTTAAACATGAACAAACATGACTGTGCCTACAAACTGTCCTGCAGTTTCCTCAAGAACTGGATGAAGTTAAGAATATGATTCTGATATCACAATTGAGATCATACATGTCGTTGTCATCTAAAAAAAATGGTATCAAAACTCTACATAAAACTGCTCCGACATTCCGTTTTTGAAATGTATTAAAACGAGAAACACTATATACTACAATGTGGTTGGTTACAGAACATTATAAATATTACAAGTAAAACTGACAGCATATTTTAAGCTTTCTTCTCATGATTTCTTCCAATGGACACAGGTGAAATTTATTCGTCAAGTAAACAGTATAATTTTAGAAAATAATATTTTCTGTCATTCATGTCATGAAAATTGACATTAAAATGTGGATAGCACTTTGGTGATGTTTTTTAAAAGATTTGTACTCATTTGAACTCAAAAAAACAATTTAATACATGAAATCTCAATTGCCAGTGGTAACAGCACTTTCATGACATGGCAATAATTTCATTCCTTTTACATTGCTGCAAGTCAGCAACAAGACCTGCAACAAGACCTGCAACAAGACCTGCAACAAGACCTGCACCATCACCAGGTTCAGGAAACACACGTTCCAACTCACAGCTATTACTTGACAATAATTTCACCATCAATTTTTGCAGCTACTGAATGACATCCCTCTGCTGAGACAAATAGTAATAACAATTTGGAAATATTTCAACAACAAAATCATTCAACTTCTTAAAAAGTTCATGAATATACAAGCATATCTTTAAAAGTGTTGAGACTTCTTTCGTGATTAATCATACCTGAAACAACATAACAGTACTGTACGTATTATTGTTGATAACATGACGATGGAATACCGTATTCAATGCAATAAGCATCTTGTAAATGGTAGGAATCCCCCCCCCCCTCCCCCCCTTACATGAAGTGACATTCGAGACCCCTTTCCCATTGAAGACAGTCCACATGGACAAAGTAGCAGTTGCCAGTTGCTTCAGCCAAGGTGCCAAAAACTCCCACAAATGAGTACTTGTAATACAATGAATAAATGATTAAAAAAACACTTGAGATGGCAGTTATCAAGCATATCTTGTTATTGTTGGTAGTGTTATAACACCCTACTAGTTGCTAACTTTTTCAATCACCCAAGTGCTTATTGGGTTGAATACGGTAATGATTAATTTGAATTTATTGATTCACAATATTCACAATTATTGATTCAATTGCCTGTGATCTCATGATTTCTGAACAGGGATTTACCTAGAATTTTCAATTTATGTTCCTGTGGCAGCGAAACTGTCTAAAACTATTGGATTTCTATCTATCTAAATTCGGAGGTATTTTAACACTGCAATACAGAAATGTAAAACTAAGTATTAAAGCCATTTCTCTCTCTTGATACTTTCATCAGTGAAAAACATTGATTGATTGATTGATTTATTGATTGACTGTTGTTTAAAGCTCACTCAGCAATATTCCAGCTGTAAGACTGAGGTCTGGAAATAATCGAGTCTGGACCAGACAATCCAGTGATTGACATCATGAGCATCGATCCATGCAACTGGGAGCGAGCCTGACCACTCGATTCATCAAGTTACCTCGTATGACAAGCATGGGTTTCTGGGTCTGTCAAAAACAAGCAGCCTTTGCAAACTAAAACAATATTTTTTTTAAATTATACCATTAGTTGGAAATGTAACATTTTGTTTGATAGGGGTTGAATATCTGCCCTTGGGTACCTAGGTAAATCCCTGCAGAAAGTCCTATTGTCCAATATAACAGGAGGCATCACAAGTGGATGACCGACACACCTGGCGACTCTCCACAAAAACAGTAACTTCTTGCTGATGATTAAGCCACTGTTCTCCTTGTATTGTGACAGTGTAACAAAGCTAGATTCCTATCTTTGGATGATAATGGCACAGTGAACAGAGACAACAAGATCTAACTGCATCAACTTGACTGGATGAGGCATGTATGGATGAGACGAGATCTCTGGGAAGATTATCATGATTCTAGGTATCTGTGAGACGGTAACCAATGACAACCAAGATGGTCCAGATTCCATCAAGTTTCTGCACTCTCCTTAAATTTGTCTTTTAAAGATTTAAAATTTCATATAGTTTTCACATGAATATGTACAATTTTAGTCTTCCAATTGTTCAGAATCAAAATAATTTCTTTCTTCAAATCAAATTTTCCTTCTTGGACTTTGAAAACTCCAAATATTCTTCCTGGAACTTACCACTGTAAATAATATTTGTAGGAATATTTTTAATTCCCTTTTTCAAATTGATTTGGCACTCTCTTTTTACAAAACAGGGTGTTTTATGAACAACTTCTTATTGTGAATGAGTACATCTTCCGACTTTTCTTTGGGTAATTTTTAATTTAAATTTAAATGAATATTTCTGTCAAAGTTATTTCTGTGTTAAAATGCTTACCATTTCTCAATTTGCTTTCAACACAAACATGTCTTTGGAACCCAGACCACTTGGAGTGGATGAAAAACTTCATTGCATTTTCATATGCAAAATTTGTCACGAGGAATTCTATATACAATCAACCACTTGGCATACATTCTAACGTTACCATTGGCAACTTTAATTGTACAAAGTTATTAAAAGTGGAAAAATATAATTATTTACGTGTACAAAAATGACATGAGATATTCAACACACCTACATTTGTAAGCCAACAACAGTATGCATACAAATCAACAATATTTGTCTCCGAGATATATATGTACACACAGCCTAACAAAAGGCCTGACAAGCTTCGACTCATCACACAGACCAAGCTTAAACTACCAGGGACACCAAAATATTTTAACTTTAGTCCTGTCAAATTATAAGATGAACATTAACACAGACAGCATAAAATTGCAGACAGATTTACCAAATATAGACAAGCAGAAAATGTTACAATTTTATCATTATTTCATACTAGTAAAATTCTCAAAACGTGTCCAAATTACCTAAATCGTTTATCCTTGACATCCTTGTCTAAATCTTGGTCCTCATGGTAACTTGATCACTAGAGTGTGGCATTCATCCTGATCCCTCCCCTGTGTAGGGCTCCACCCTCCCCTCCCCTCCCCCGGGTAGAGTGATCCCCACTCCCAGGGCTCTCCCCGCTAGAGCATGAAGGGTCATGGCACACAACAAACCATACTATTGCATTCATTGAATTGTCATATTCACTTAATACCCACAGTAACACGTTTCTAACAATTATCTACCAAGTGTCTTTCATACACTGAGTCTTGAATGTTTATTTCTTCCAACATTGTCTGCGTGTATACTGTGAGTACTCTCAATCTCTGCATCCGAACTACTTGAAGATATTTCTAACAATGTACTTCCAAATCCCTGGCAAACAAAGGGACTATCATTCAATCTGTAATAAACCCTGAATTTTTATGAAATTAAATAAATACATTGAGTGTATTCCCATAAAAAGTCTGATATTTGTCATACTGTAAACAATTCACATAATGCAATAGTACGATGACTTACACTGACTATCATATTGATATAATGTAGCACATTTCCTCCTATTAGGCCCCAGGCTATAAAAACAGGATGTACATTAGGATCAATTTCTACCTTCGATACATCAAACTGATCACACCTGTATCCTACAATAATTAATGTTTCAAAAACATGAAAACCTCAGTTAAAGAAAGACAATTCTCCAAGTCTTAATTTGTGTATTCAAGTATTGTCAACCCTGATTAAATATACCACTCAAAAGAAGTAAAGAACATGCGATTATTTCATATTAACTATAGTAATAGGAAAGAATCGGGTCTTCTCATATAACTTCTTTTGTGCAGTCTGTACAATCTTTATCTAAGCTCCTCACATGTAGGCAGATGAATAATAATATTCCAACAAACTCTTCTGATATTATTCATGTATTTTCAAAATAATACTCTCAAAAGCATCATCACCCAGTACCTGAACTACTTTTGACTCAATATCAATGAATATCTGCCCTATAAGTACATTAATCAAAATCATTATGTATTTTTAAACAGATGTGTTCCAGTCAAAAGTTGGTACAAGATCATTTCCTCTATACGTAAAACCCTGTTATATAGCTGGAGCAGTAATTGGAGAAAATGTGATACTACTGTCAACACAACTGAGTATCAGAAGAATATTCAATACAAACAACATGACATGACCTGTTGACTACTAGTATTACATAAACTACAACTAGTTATAGTTGGGACAGTGAAAGACATGGATTCTGATGAAATAACCACCCATACGGCAGCCTCTCACTCACTGGGATACAAGTTAACATCTCAAATATGTGTCAAATGTTTACGTTCATTATAAATCCAATACTCTAAATCATGCCATATTTGTAATTCTGTTAAACAATGTTACTTTTTCACCAATTTCGATGAGAAAATTATATTTCTTCCTCTAAATAAATTTAATTTAACAGTACAGTGTTCATAACACAGATAACACTTACAACTTAAGGCAGATCTAGATTTCTTGAAAGTCAGCAACACAACATGGCTGAATTGAAGGCTCAACAACCAAAGTTTCAGAATCAAATTCAAAATTACATGAAACCTCAATTGGCACAAACAAATAACGCTTATTCAACAAACAAAATCAAAATGTAACAAACAAGTACATGTAGTACATCCGCCATCGATAAAACAAGAAGTACCTTTCAAGAACCACTGTAACCTGAAGCCAATCAGAAACTGAGTTAACTACAACATACATTGAATGCCATTCAAAAGCTGATCACAAGAAATACTTGAAACTATCACTGAGGAATGCATAAAACATGGACTTTCAACTAATATCTTTGGCCCTGTTGTAGCATCAGGCATTTTCACAAACTTACTGGATGTTTGCACATTAGCATGGCATGTTTCTGTATACACCGCCAAAAGAAATGTGAAAACATGTTAGTGAATATTTGAAGAATTGCTAATATTCAAGAGATATTAGATTGGTCGATGCACAAACGAAACTACTGTTATGCTGTGTGAACCGATGCTCATGAACGCATCACATGTGTTGTCACAGATCCATGACTCGAGATGCACCAATTGTCTCGTGCAGGATTAGCATGTAAAGTTTGGAAATCATGAGCCTCATATTGTGATAAGAATAAAGACACTCTGTGGTAACAATTGACTGACTTTAGTCTTGTCATTAATTAGTACACATTGGAAACATCTCTTCTTAACGTACCTACTTCTTTATTATGTTTCTACGGTTTGCATTTCTTTTGACGGTGAGTATATTTGTAATAATTAAGTGAGTGAGTTAGACTTTACGTCGCTTTTACCAATATACCACAAAAATGATGGCAGGGAACACAAGAAATGGGCTTCATATACTGTACCCAAATTATTAAGTGGCAAAATCTGATTGTCAAATTGAAAATTTCAAATATGCAGAAAAGTTTCAAACTCACTCATATTTACGAGTACATTTGAAAATTTCAAATATGCAGAAAAGTTTCAAACTCACTCATATTTACGAGTACATTTGAAAGGAAGAAATGCCATCCTAACAAGCCCTAGAGCATTCCTCTTGCAACAGTTACTGTCTTATATTTGCTTTAATGTTATTAAATGATGATGATTGTTTCAGCACTATGTCACCGAGGACTGACGAAAATTTTCAGATTTCCATGTTTTATGCTTTCAAACAAGAATTAAGAAAAAAAATAACATGATAGATGCAAACACACTCAGTCCTGGGTGGCAACCCATAATACTGCATGAGGTATCCAGAGAAAAAGTGTCAGTTTAGAGTTATCTCCCCTTGGCTACAGATTTTACTTTCTTGGGACTGCTGTCCGATTCTATGTGAAAACAGCCAAGATGTATTAGGCATCTATTTAAAAATTGACATATTCCAGATATATTATGCCCTTTCTCCAAGTGTTGACCTTTGGGGTTGGCCAATTCCAGTGCCAAAAATTACCAAATATTATATATTATTTTAAATAAGAATCATCAATATTCCTCTGACCTAGTGATAAAAAAGTAATGAAATGCAGTAAAATATTCTCTTATCAACTACACTTCTAAAAATAATTATTTTCTTAATTAAATTTGGGTGAAAGTGTCAACAAGATTTACCCAAGTTACAAACTGTCTTGGCAAGTGCCTGTCAGCCTTGTACAGTTTGTTGTTGGATAGGAAAAAAATATGTTTTGCTTATATCCTGTGAGTGATATGAATACTGCATGCTGCTTCTTTATACAGGCAAATCTTACACTGACATACAGAAGATGGTGTTTTCCAGCATTTAGAACTTTTTCCAAGTATATATTTGTTTCAAATTCTGCTTGCAATGGGGAGATAACACATGAACCTATCTGACATTCAAAACAGCACATACTCAACAAAGTGAAAACAAATGTTTACTTTGAAATTTGCGTTTACCTGTGATCGAATTAATCAATGAATGGAGACTGTTCTCCCTATAGAAAGTTTCAGAAGAAAGCAATAGAATATGATCTTGTTCTAATTGTATTAACAAAAACTCCACAAATATCCAAGCAAGTATTTTCAATATCCTTATCACTAACACAAAAAATAGGGACGAGCGTTTCAAATTTTTAAAATAATTTTTCCAAAATTGAAAATTGTGACCGTGAGACTGATGCAGATGTAGATGTCGATGCAATATAGATGAATATATTTGTTTGGAAAAAAATAGATTTAATTTGATCACAGGTATCCACAAACATCGTGTTACTCAAAAAAACATTGGCAAATGTCACCATACAAAGTACCAACTACACAATATGCACCAAATAAACTATAATGTGAAAAATATACCCTTAACCAATGGCATATAAGTCAAATGATCACAAATAGATTCCACATGCGTAGCGGACACAAACAATAACAAGTAAATTTTGATTTCATGACAAAATCCAAAACAGGCCAAAAGAGCCCTTGTGGGAATGCTAGATAACAGAACCAGTCTAACACTTTGGCCCCTAAAATATTCAAATGATCAAGTCACCATTTGTTGCAGACAATTCCATTTGAATTAGAGGGGATAGATTGCACCTAGCTACATATTTACACTAGGACTATCGGAACTTATAGTACATTTCTGTAGACTAACTGTATCTATGAGTGGGCTCCCCTGACCACCACTACGTGACGTAGTTGTGGCAGGGCGTTCAGGCTCTAAAAATGGATCATCGGCAACAGAATCTCTCCTAGAGTCTTCCGAGTCTATACTTTCGTAACTTGTCGACGACCAGTTCCGGGCTTTTCTGTACCCCATGAATGGATCGAAAGATGATTCTGTAGGCACAGACAGTGTATTCTGGTCGATTTCTTCAAAGTCTGGAGCCTCTTTCCTCCCACACGCCCACTGCAGCGTCTGTGTCACGTCCTTGTCGGCCTGCGCTCCTTCCGGGCTGGCGTATTTACGATGACTCGTTTCTGATTCCAAACTATCAACGCTGGACACTGAGCAGGTTCGAGTTGAGTCTGTTGTATCTGTGCTTGAAACTGAACTCTTACGTACTTCGCTACTCTCCATTTCGGGCACAGCCAGAAAGCGTCCACCTTTTCGTGATGATCTCTTGTTGTGGGTGCGCATGTGTCGTGTGATCATGTCTCGCCGACAAGCTGCGTACGGACACTGTGGACAGCGGTATGGTTTCTCACCCGTGTGTGTTCGTTTGTGAGTGTTCAGGTGGTCACTGCGGCTAAACACCTGGCCACAATCTGTGCACTCATAAGGCTTAAGTCCTGTATGGAGCCGCATATGGCGAGTAAGCATGTCACTACGCGAGAAGGACCGATTGCACACTTTACAGTAATGTATTTTGTTATTGTCAGCTGCACGTACAGTCTCAGTTGGGAGATGCTTGGCCATATGTTTAGCAAGATTATCGTAGGATGGAAACACTTGTCCACAAACCGGACAGAGGTACGTCACATCGGACTCCGATAAGGATCGTTTCTCGTAAAAGCCTTTAGTGTGTTCCTGCTTGACAGGCCCATATTGCTTGGATGGGAAGTTGGAGAACTGAGTAGGTGATGATGGGTACAGAGCCCGTGGCGAGACAGCCAAGCGATTCACCTCCGCTAGGGGACTCAACATGGAGGCGTGAGGAGGGAATGTGAAGAATCGTGGTGACATGGGACTAGGGGACAGAAGATCCGAGTCCGAGTGGGGACCTTCAAATGGACTGGGCATGCTGAAGTTGAAGATACGCCCGCCTTCAGGCACTGAACACAGAGGTGATTGTGGAGAGATAAGACCGTGGGGTGAGTATGGCAGGCGATGCGTAGACCGGAAAGTGACAGGGGAGAACTGTTTGGCTGCTGTGGGAGACAGCTCCTGCTCCTGGGGAACCTGGCCCATCCCTACACCCAGGTTTGGAGAACCCAGGTTTGGAGAACCCAGGGAGGGACTCCCTAGTGATGGCGACCCCAGAGAAGGGGATCCCAACCCTGGGGACAAATTAGGACTTGTGCTCTTTGAGAGGTCTAGAGGTTCATTCTGCTGCAAGGAAGGAGGTTTTGAACGTTTGTGTGAAGTAACAGAAGAGGTAGGTTCCATGAAGACATCGTCTGGTGTGTCCGACCGAACATCACTGGTCCTCTTGAGATCACGTTCTGACTCCGACACCGACTCACAAGACACCCATACTCCTCCCGGACCCACATCTTGGCCCCTGCCTTTCATATCCTCTAGTTCAGGAGGGTAAAAGTACACTGGCCCTTCCTTCAAGCTTTGCTCTAAGGATGAAGAGTCTGACTGAAGACTAGTCACATATCGTTGATGAAGCATTTTCTTGAATTTCCCATGTTGGTAGCTCTGACGTTCACTCTCTGAATGAAAATCTCCCTCCTCATATTTCTGAGCAGACATCTCTCCAACTCGCCTTCCTCCGAAATCCTCTTGTTCTGAGTTCCCTGGGTACTGATGTTTGGGAACATCTTCTGATCCAGTGAAGGGGGACTGTTCTCGACTGCTGCCACTGTCGATGTTGCTGGAACTTGACTCCGATATTGTCTCAACTAACGTGTTGTCTTCCGCTTCACCACTCCATAGTCGAGGTCGTTCAGTTTTTATCAATGGGGGTCCTCGAAACCACCCATATCTAGAATCATCAAACACCTCCCCTTCTTCCCCTGTTCTGGGAGGCATATTGAGTATCTCGTTACCTTCAAATCCAGGCGGACACTTTTGCAAATTGGGATTCTGGAATGCTCCAGCATGGCTGGGGTTGTCACTTGAATATGGAACGAAATTTAATGCTTTATTCACGCCTTTGTCCAACATACTGGCTGGTTGAAACTCTGACTTAATATGAAATTCAGAAGGGCTGATTGGTGCGACAGTCGCTTCCAAGGGCTGTGATTGGCTGGCTTGAATTTTATGGTGCTCCGTGGAGCTTTGTGACGGATGACCCATCATAGTCAAATAAACTCACAAATTGGAGATGGGGGAAAGGGAGAAGGTAGGCACTGGGTGGGGAACAAATGGGGATCCTTGGTATTCATGGTGACTCTGTAATGAAAACAGAAAAGAATTTCAGGTGCATAGTCAACAAAATATTAATAAAAATAATAAAAATTAATTATTAATATAATATTACAGAATATAAAGTCTACATTGATCTCCAAATAAAAAAAAACTTTTGTTTTTGAGTGAGTGAGTGAGTGAGTGAGTGAGTGAGTGAGTGAGTGAGTAAGTGAGTGAGTGAGTGAGTGAGTGAGTGAGTTGGGTTTAACGCCGCTTTTAACAGTATTCCAGTCATATCACGGCTGAGAATGATAACTAATGACATCATTCATGCTACCCTCTTTGCAAAGTTCCTGACCAAGCAGTTTAAGAGAACTGGAGTGAGAGAGTGAGTATGGTTTTACGCCGCTTTTTAAGCAATATTTCAGCAATATCACAGCGGGGGACACCAGAAACGGGCTTCACTCTTTGTACCCATGTCGGGAATCGAACCTGGGTCTTCGGCATGACAAGCGAACGCTTTAACCACTAGGCTACATGACCATCCCTCAGAGAATTGGAAGAGTTGTACATTTGTCAGTGCTTTACACTACACTGAAAACACAGCAAATTTCTCCCAGGACAAAATGAACCTCAAACTATTTAGTTCAACCAAAAGTAAATTGACTTGTGCTCTAGATTACAAAAATGAAATGTACCAGTTGTTCCAATAAAAGACAAGCAACCAGTACTGTCATCTCACGTAGAGCTGCCTATTATAGGGATAGAATTACTACACATCCATGGACTTATCATGCAGTACAGCCTTGGAGCACGGCTAGGGTTCACTCTAATGTTATCAGTGGCTGACAAAGCAAAGAATAGTACTTTCTCAATACTTATTATGCCCATGTGCAGTGATGCAGATGACCAAAATATATTGCGACTGGTACTTGAATATTAAAGGGAAAACAACTTGTCATATTGTAACTGACATTTGCCACTGAATTACATAAAACTCCCAACCCACCAGGAAGTGATGCAAGTGAATGAGTGAGTATAGTTTTACGCCGCCTTTAGCAATATTCCAGCAATATCCCAGAGAGGGACACCAGAAATGGGCTTCAACTGCATGACAACCCAACACTTTAACCACTAGGCTACCTGACTGCCTCTGATGCATGTACTCAAAGGAGATGCTAATGTTATTTGAAACCTCTGGCTGACTTATAAGAGTGAGTGAGAATGGTTATACTTTGCTTATAGCAATATTCCAGTAACACCAAAATCCCATTTTACCAATACAGTGAATCAAACACTTGGCGTCAGCATGAGAAGCGAAAGCTTTAACCATGAGGCTAACCCACAGCCCCTAACCAATAACATCTCAACATTCCCCAAAATACTGATATAGTACAAAGGCAGCCATGCATTCATGATGAAGATGGTTAAAACAAATGATTTGTAATTAAACCGGAAAATGTAAAAGTGTAAAAATTAGTAAACTCCATCATGTGAAATTTGTTAATATATTTCACAAAGCCTCCGATCATGACACTAAAATTTGAAAAACCTTTCAATCATAAAACATGTACAGATTTATAAATAAAAAAATGTTTTCTAAAAACCCAAAAGCTCTTACTGTTATGATGACCCCAGTTTTCATAATCTCCGGGAGATGAAACACTGTCAGGTGTAGATATACACTGACACTGATAAAGCTGGATTTCCATAAAATCAAATATTCAGTCTTAAAAATAAAATTACTTACATTGAACGACCAGCCTGTCACCCAAGCACATCCCAAACTAATGCCAGATCTATCAGTTTCTCTTATATATCAAGTCTGTTTCACACCCTAAGAAAAAAGTACGTAGGTTATTTACGTGGTGATTAGAATGTAGCAGCTTCCCAAGCCTCGTCTTTAGCCTGAGTGTTGTCAGAGCAAAGCGAAGGCTCTCGATCAGTCCTTTGTCTGGAAATACCTGTGAAACACAACAATCAATACTGAAGCACTAATTACAACCCTCATCGCCCAATATCCCATCTTACAAATTAACAAGTATAGCTGTGCTCCAAATACATGTGGAACGACCATTTTTTTTGCAGTTTAAACTTGTGTACTTTCTTGTATATAGTGCTAATCTTGTCTTAAAAATTACACAGCTGTGTAGAGGTGGGGTGCATAATACATACATAAACTTGACTTGTTGTTGGGTTTTTTACCCCAAAGCAAAAACATTGCCCTGAGTATATAACACTTGAAATACCACGTCAACAAATCCGTACTGAAGTAAGCAAATTTATCTGGTCATAAAAAGTGATCATTTTGTATCTGAATTATGTCTATAGTCTATTTTACAAATATTGTATTTAAAAATTCATTCAATATTGTTCATTCAATATTGGTGAAATCATCAGACCACACCAACTCACCGATATCTAGAGCAACCACAATCAAATTAACGTTATTGACGCCCTGAAACGAACCTAACTTGTTAAAGAATGAACGCATGTATAAAAAATGCCATACTTGACTGGTTAAAAGTCATATTAGCTGTAACATGACAATAGATAGATCATTGTTAGGCGAAAAAGATATACTGTCTGTACACCGGCGCGACTGTTACCGACAGAGGTGAAGCCTACACTGGTCAACTGTCTCTAGGTGTTATAGCAACACCTACCGCTCATATCGCGCATACCACATGCACCCTCAGTTTAAGGTTTAACCGTACGGGTCAGCCCACCTAGCGAGTTAGTGAAGTTAAGATAAATTGAAAAGATTGCCCATTGAACCCAGGCCTTCACTGTGATCAGCCGACGCTTTAACTACTAAGCTACCCCACCGCTCCATAAGGAAGAGTCATCAGGAGATGACATATCCCCCCGGTCTGGTGCAATTCGAAAATGGAGTTTGGCTACTTATATCCCACCCTTGGTTCACTGCTGTTGGATACCTTCAGTTCAGTGAAGAAAAAAATAATGCGGTTCAGTATTTTCAAAATTCCAAATCATGAAAAGGCACCAGTTCACCACTAGATTGATCTGTATAGCACGTTACATCCAGGAATATTTAACGGTAATAAATAGTTGCAACAGTTAGACACAGTCATTTTGAAAAATTAGTAACTCTAAATGCATAAGAACCTCTGGGAGTAACTAAAACAAGAATGTGTTCTCCCCAATCCTTTTCTTAATACATTAGTTAAAATTGTTACCCTAATTACGTCAGCAAATCCCCAAAAAACAATGATTGCAAATTATATCTTGGAAAGATAATGATTTCATGCAGAAACATTCATAGGTCCAAACTGTTTCCATGGAAACTCAAGAAATTAACCAAAAAATTTAAAAATATGACAAGCAATAGTTGAGCATGCCTTGTTTATTGTTTAATGCTGCACTCAGCAATATTCCAGCTATATGTCAACAGTTGAGCATGTGGTCATTGCACATGTGTAGTTTCATGCAAAAATATTCATTGGTTTGAGAGTCATGGCTCAGAAACGAAGCCTTGAGTTGTTTGAGACCAAATTGTTTCCATGGAAACATAACAAAATAAAATTTAGAAAGATTTCAAAATAGCAAAAGTCACCAGTCAATCTGATGACGTATGCATATGCCAATTTTCATGTTTCTCCATCATCTTGTCTGACACAAACATGGACCTAATTTGTTATTAATTCGAAACTGATGAAGTTGTCTGTTCTTGGTTATAAGTGAGTGTGTTGGGTTTCACATGTGTTTAACAGTATTCCTGTTATATAGAGCATGTCAGCTTAATGTTGGAGGAAAGCCCGAAGTGATGCAGGTCTTCAACGTTTACCACTTTAGTGAAACCCCATCTTCCCGAGGCAAGAGAGTTAACTGACTTTAAAAGTCTAGTTGTTACCGTTGCCGAACTAGGCTGGAATTTCAGGGCTCGATCCTAGTGCCACCAATGGCTATTACAAGTTATGTCACCCTTACTGACCAATCAGATTCTACCTCTCATTTCACTTGCATTTGCTTCAAGCAAAATGGCAGAGCACCTTGATTAAAAAAACATGAAAAGATTTGGAAAATATGTGTCGACGCCCAGTTGGTGGTACACATGCTCTATAAATCTTGCAATCGAACAAATTTGACACAGCAGTGGCCATGTTGTTTATGAACCATATGTCGATATTGTTACACGATTTTGATTGGACTATGAAGAGACTCGTTAGTCCAGCCAAATTATAAGTCCATAATTCCAGCTTAGTTCGGAAACTGGACTTTTATTGTCAGTCAACCCCCGTGCCTCGGGAAGATGGTAAAACCCACTTAGTCATAACAAGTACTTACTGATTTTCAGTGTCACAAGAACCACAAATAATTGCAATTCATGACTGATTAACACCCAGCCAACAAAAACTTTTGTTTTCAGAGACAGAGATTCAATAACCTGTTACTTTCTCCAACCCTTTGAATATGTCACTAGCCACAGTCTTGCAGGCTAGCAATACATTTCTGAATCATCTCCTCCATGGCGACAAAAACACCATTGTCAAAACCTACATCGGAAACCTGGAAAGACAAGACATGTGTGTCTTCTCAGAACACAAGGTATATATTTGTTCCACGTGGAACACAGCAAACACAGATGAAGTCTGAGTTGACAATGATGTTGAGTTTGAGACAACATCTCCTCCCCATAACCCCTAGTCCATCGCCCCCTCAATCCCCATCCCTCACCCTCACCCTCACCCCCATCCCCACCCCCACCCCCACCCCCACCCCCACCCACTCAACTCTGTCCTATACAAACAGGGCCTACAGGACACTAGGTAAAACATGACCATTGATTAGCATGGTCCTATCACTTGTGTAAGGTGCTGCAACTGCATATGTATCTTTGGTTACCTGGCGTGGGAATTTTATACTTTCTTGTTGGATAAGCTGGTCACATCACCTACACATCTTAAATGATAAATTTCCGAAGACATATTTGATTTATTTTTTCAAGGATGTTCTTGTTAAAATGCTGAAGGTGAAAATAAATTGTCATTACTGTTGATTCAAGTTTTAGATATTATGTAAAATATGTAAAATAATCAAATCACCATTGTTAAATAAAGTTTTAGTTGCTTGAAGACAAATATGCATGTAATATATCAAAAATATTTCATATCATTGCAAAAAATAATTCAACTTTGAGATTAGAAATGACTACACTTGAAAAAAGCAATTTGACTGAATGTGTTAAGTGGGTGAAGAAAAGGTGATACAAACTAGCCATGGGTCTCAACTGACCCCCTCAATGTTAAAGCTGGCGATGTTACCATAGTAATGACTAGAATTGCAAAGATAAAGTAAGGTCATGATACAATATGTATCTCGATATGCAACCATACAAAAAAAAAAATATCAGTACTTCAGCTTTTATTAAGTTTCAAGACTTGCATGTCAAGATTGGACCTTCATGATTTTGGAATTCTTTTATAACATGAAGACTTTTGAAGTTGTAAAGCTTCAAAGTTTCTCTCCTTCAAAACACTTCAAATTTCAAAACAGCAGACAACTTCAAAGTTCGAACACTAGAACACCTGTGAAGATCCGAGGTAGAATAGGTCTTCAGCAACCCATGCTTGCTGTAGAAGGCGACTATGCTTGTCGTAAAAGGCGACTTAGGGGATCGGGTGGTCAGGCTCGCTGACTTAGTTTATGCATGTAATTGTATCCCAGTTGTGTGGATCGATGCTCATGATGTCAATCACTGGACTGTCTGGTCCAGACTCGATTATTTACAGACTGGCGTCATATAGCTGGAATATATGTTGAGTGCAGCGTTGAACAACAAACACCAGACAACAATCAATGTAATTCAGTCTGAACAGTTCAACTTCAGGGTCTTTTTCAGAAAAATTAAAATGTCAACATTGTAAAGGGACAGGTCTCCTGCTGTTGAGTCTGAACGGAGGTACACGCTCTGCCTACCTAACACAATCTATGATGTATGTTCAAAAATAAAGATAAGAATAGAAGTTGTTTATGATTCATAGTGTAAAAAAATAATTTATTGAATGTAAGTGCTTTAAAGAAACCCATGCTTCACCCAAATCAGCAAACCTGACGACCTGATCCCATTGGTCGCCTCTTACGACAAGCATAGTCGCCTTTTACAGCAAGCATGGGTTGCTGAAGACCTATTCTAACCCGGATCTTCACAGGTCTTGTTCTTTGGGAGTGTAGGACACTTTTGTCCACATTAAATATAAAAGTGATATAATTATTATCAGTTTTATTTACAATTTGACAAACTATACCGATATAAATACTACAATTCATCAATACTTGTCAAGTTCACAAAAATATCACCAGCTAGAATCTGTCACAGATTTGTCACAATCAAATCCCTAATGACATCTTGTCTACATGGTTACAACCGGTGATTGTTAAGATCACAAATCCCAGCTTCAGTCACACAACATGGTGCGCTATATTCATTTCCAATATCCTCTCATAATTTGTGGCAAATCTTAGGACACACCATCTGAAAAGATATCTAGAGTCCCCCACCACATTCATTCTTACAACAACAAAAAAGTGGGGTGTGGGGAATGTGTCTGGTATTGTGGCTTCGTCAGCCTACTGCATTATAAACCGAAATTAATTACTTGTACAGATATTTTTTTTCAAATCCCTTTGTTTATGTTGATATTGGTCTTGAAAAGTTTTCTGTTTCAGGCAATGTAGCTAGAACCCACAGAGACATCAAAAGCAGGAGGTCAACAGCGACAAGGGGACATAACACTATCAGATGAGTGAGTGAGTGAGTGAGTGAGTGAGTGAGTGAGTGAGTGAGTGAGTGAGTGAGAGTGCGTGAGTGAGTGCGTGCGTGAGTGTGTGGTTTTACGCCACATTTAGTAATATTCCAGCAATATCACCATTTGGGACACCAGAAATGGGCATCCGCTTTGAGCCCATGTGGGGAATCGAACCAGGGTCTTCAGCTTGACGAGCGAACGCTTTAATGTCTAGGCTACCCCACCGCCCCTCACTATCAGATTAAATTTTGGCTGTTTATGCTGGTTTCCGGTGCTATTATGATCCTGTTTTTGTGCATTTCTGAGTGACCGCTGGAACCACCGAACAGAGATATTCTCATTTGTCACTGCCCTGCACTGAATCGGCCATGTGCACACTACAGCGTAACGACCAGTCAGTGAGGCACACACTTATTGTTCCTCTATACATTAGGGCTGGGGCGATATACCAACTGTGTGATCCGATACGTATCACGACACCTTGTTCATGATCAGATACATATCATGATACTTGCATGAGTTCTGGTGAGTAAGCCATCTTTTTCATAGACAGGATGGCCAAATACCTGGTACACTGATGATTTACTGTTGGCTGTGTCAAGAATGGCGCATTGGATGAAAATATCCACTAATTTTCCCTACTAATTCATGTTTGCTGTTTGCTGATTGAAGCAAATGTTTAAGGTAAGAATTGATATTTTTTACTTAGTGTTTGTTTGTTTGTTGTTTAACGCCACACTCAGCAATATTCCAGCTATATGACAGCGGTCTGTAAAATAATCGAGTCTGGACCAGACAATCCAGTGATTGACATCATGAGCATCGATCCATGCAATTGGTATCGATGACATGTATCAACCAAGTCAGCGAGCCTGACCACCCGACCCCGTTAGTCGCCTTTTATGACAAGCATAGTCGCCTTTTATGGCAAGTATGGGTTGCTGAAGACCTATTCTACCCCGGAATCTTCACGTTTTTTTTACTTAGTGTGCAACTGTAATCGATACTTGTATCAAGAAGCAAAAAAATCGCGATCGATGTATCATCCCACTACGACTATGTACAGTGATCACTCACTACAACGCTACCCTTAGGGTCCAAATAATTGATGAGCGTTATAGACAATCAGCGGTTAAGTCGAGGTGGAGTCATTGAGGCTAGATGACCAACACAACCATACATGCCCTGCCTACCTAATACGATCAATGCTGCACCTTTCAGAGTTTAAAAAAGGATTAGAATGGTAGTTGTTTTATTGTAGATGGAAGAGCTTATTAGCGCCCACTTAACTGTTTCTATAAAATTCTATCAAATTGACATGAGATTGTCCACGTTTGAATGGCGCCCCCCAGATGACTAACGACAGCTGTAAAGGTGACTTGTGACAAACATGAACTAACTGGGTGACAACTTGTCATACGAAGAATTGGAAAAGCCACCAAGTTTCCAAGCAACAATGAAGCTGTATAGCAAAAGCCTAATAAACAATGATTCTGTGACTGTGTGGTATGATAAATCATTTAGGCTTATTATCACCATATTGACCTATATAATTTTAAATGAGGAAGTAAAATGTTAGTACCAGACGCCATCTTTTATTTCTGGCAGACGATGGGGCAGTCGGATAGCCTAGTGTATAAAGCATTTGCTCGTCACGCCGAAGACCAGGGTTCGATTCCTGACATGGGTACATTGTGTGAAGCCCATTTCTGGTGTTCCCTGCATTAATATCGCTGGAATATTGCTAAAGGCGTAAAACCATACTCACTCACTCACTCCAGCAGACGATTCCATAATCATCACGTGACAGGTCAATACTTATCATGTGAAGGGTCAATATTCAAGGTCAGGGTCAGTCCTGTGAATTAGGGGTCCACATTGAAATGTATTCTTTCGTCACATGGTATGGAATAACAGACTATCCGTCGCAAATGAGTTAATTTGGTAATTGACAAGCCTTTTGGAATGTCTGCATTAAACAGACTATGGATAGGATTATAAACTATACACCTCCAGTGAAGTCATCGCATTCCAAACTTGTGCAGTATCAGGATTACAGGGATTAAGATGCCCACCCCATCACGCACAAAGTACCGTTGACTTTACGTTTCAGTGGATCAAACTTGCAACCATTGTATCTGTAGCCTGGTGAACCACAAGACTAGAAAAGGTGCTGAGAAATCACAATTCTTTCTGAGAATCTCTCTTTCAACATGTTAATTAAGATACATGTACAAATATACGTACACCACCACGAGTTAGTTGACGTCTGTTTCTTATTGACCTTTGAATTTTTTTATTTTAAAAAAAAACAACGTTGTTCCAGTCACATGAAACACATGAATTATGAGATTTAAAACCCTATCCGAGGTCGACCCAAGGTTTTATCCCCCAGATGCAGGTTGTAAAATCTCATAAAAACACTAAAGGACTGTTTATCCCACACATGACAACTGGGATCTGAAGGAATATTTTTTCACACATTGTAAGGTATATTTATTATGTGTGTTAGGCATATGTAATAATAAAAACATTAATTTCCAGAGTGAAGATATAAATACAGGAAAAGAGGCATAACTCTAGCTGGTCTCATGCAGAAATCAAGTATTCCACACTTTTGCCATTTTACTGGTGCTTCAATTACCCTACAGCACATACAGACAGACCATGAGTATATTCATATTTCTTACATATTTGTCTGGAAGTCTTATTGGAAGGCTTAATACGAGAAATACGGTAAGTCATGGCATGTCAGTTATTCTACATATAAGTCAGAACACCTCCATGGTCTAGAGAGCGGAAGGCCTGAATTTCGATCCCCGATGGCTCCATACCAAAAGACGTTAAAAGATGGTACTTGTTGTTACCCTGCCTGGCACGAGGCATTAAGGGGTTAAAACAAGGACTGGTCGGTTCGGAGTGAGTATACTGTGTCTGAGTGGGATATCCATGTCAAACTGCATGGTGTGTATATATATATATATGAGTGAGAGAGAGAGAGAGACAGAGAGAGAGAGAGAGAAAGACGCACACAGTCATAACATGTGTCAGGTATTCAATAAAGTTAGTTATTCTGTAAAAACACACTTGTTTGTTGAACTGAAGACATCAACTCAGTCTATGTTATGAGTCACAACAGTGTTGAGGAGCGCTCAGTAAGACTTACCAAATATGCATTCCTCTAGATAGTTTAATATCTTGGCAATGACATATAAACACAGTGTCAGACCCATATAGAAATATTATACTCACACGAAAAGTAAAACGTAAAAGCTGAAGGTGTACAAGAGAGTTGTCTGCCCCTGAGTGAATGTGTTGCTGTATCAATCTCTAGCCTTGCTGTCATGGTGGGTTGTGGGCATCCAATACCTGGAACAACAAAATCAGTTGTAACATTGTATGAGGTAGTCATGTTTAACACTGCCTTGTAAAATCTTTCAGGTGGGGGCACGGTGGCCTAGTCGTCTAAGGCGCCGCGATTCGCTGTGCAGAGTTGCGTCCCTTCGGCACGCCAGAAACCTATGTTTGTGGGTTCGAATCCCGGTTCTCCCCAATTATGTTTCTAGGTTTGTCAGCACCATACCCGTGCTCGTGGGTTTCACCGAAGTGGTAAACGTCTGAGACCTGCATCACTTCGGGCTTTCCTCCCACATCAAGCTGACACGCCACAATATAACTGGAATACTGTTAAAAGCGGCGTTCAACCCAACTCACTCACTCACTCACTCACTCACTCACTCTTTCAGTCAGGTACTTCAAGAATAACTGTCCCTCGCCTCTGTTCACAATGTTATAAAGGCTTCCTATAAAGGAGATTTAAACACATTTTCAGTTTCACCACGATGTGTCAGCTAAGTCCTTAATGGACATTTACAACTTCATCAGAACCAATGATGAAGACCCGTGAAGATCCTGGGTAGAATAGGTCTTCAGCAACCCATGCTTGCCGTGAAAGGTGACTATGCTTGTCAAAAGAGGCGACTAAGGGGATTGAGTGGTCAGGCTCACTGACTTGGTTAATGCATGTCATTATATCCCAATTACGTAGATCGATGCTCATGATGTCAATCATTGGCTTGTCTGGTCCAGATTTGATTATTTACAGACCGCCCTCACATAGCTATAATATTGCTGAGTGTGGAGCTAAACAACAAACAAACAAACAAACAAGAAGTTGGAGAAGCCCAGTGGTTAAAATGTTCACTCATCATGCCAAAAGCCCGGTTTTGATTCCTCACATATGATGCCCATTTCTGCTGTCCCCAGCAGTGATATTTCAGGAATAATGGCAACAGTGGCAAAAAATCCCATACTCACTGCCTGATGTCTGGTACAAGGATTCACACCAAAGGACCATAGTAAGGCATGAGGATAAGATTTTCAACAGAGGATAGTGCAGAAATCTGTCAAGTTCAAAGAAGCATTCATAAAAGGATCTTACATAATGACTGGTGCTGGACGGTTGGCCATGAACGACACTGATAACACTGCACCTCTCAACGGTCGGAAGCCAGCATCTGACTGTTGGCTTGACCTGGGGCATTAGTTGTGTTTTATAGGAAACAATTTGTTGCTGAGCAGTATGGATTTGTTGTGAATAGAAAAATATAGTGGAATAAAAACACCTGAATTGTTGCCATATTTGGTATGCCTGTTTCATGACGTTAAGGCCTTGCGTATACAAGTATAGAAATGAGGGAGTATCACATGTTAACAAATACAGAGATTTTATGACAAATATAAAGATTCCTAATGATAATAGGCAACTTTTTGAGAGTTATTTCTATTAGAGCTGACACTGAAATAGAGACCTATGGTATTGTAGCTCACCTGGTTAGATTGATTACAGAGGAAGTTCATTTTGATAAGCATGAAAATTATTCCAGCTATTTGGTACATAGTGTTTGAAATGACAGGAGGCCTGAGATCCTTAGTGTTAGCACCTTTAGTGTTTGAAACTAAGGACTACCAAAGGACAAGGGTTATGTTTGTTTGTTTGTTTGTTTATTGTTGTTGCACTCAGCAATATGACAGCTATATGACGGCGATCAGGACTAGACAATCCAGTGATTGACATCATGAGCATCGATCCACGCAACTGGGATACGATGACATGCATTAACTAAGTCAGCGAGCCTGACCACCCGATCCCGTTAGTCGCCAACAAGGGTCATGACAAGGACTTCTTGACCTTATGCTTTATGTCGAACAAAATATTAACTTAATTACCTAATCAGTTACAACTAATCTAACAGATTTATTTGACCGGGGGAAATAGTTTCATCACCCTTGATCGTCTAGTGAGTGAGTGAGTATGGTTTTATGCGGCTTTAAGCAATATGGGAAACAAAAGGCTTCAACAAAAACCTTCATAACACAAGAGGCAAGCAATGTCTAACACAAAAGATGGAATCTGGTCCACATCACAAGACAATCTCTATGCATGAATATCAATATGAGGTCACTTCAGTAGAACTTTCTAATTAGCCAATCAACGTCGAGAATTCTACATTCCGAGCAGGATATAATTTAATGATATCCCTCTATTGAAAACAAACAATAAAGGGTAGTTCTTGATGGAGATAATAAAGGTGGTGCTTTTATAGTGTTGCGGATATCTTATACATACAACTTGTCGATTCTGGATGCAATGGCATCTATTCATGGAATGTTTCTGTTGTGGGTAGGTATTGTTCTGTTAAGGCATGCCTGATTGTGTTTTCAAGCTCTGGCAGTATGGGTGAGTGAGTGAGTGAGTGAGTGAGTGTGGTTTTACGCCGCTTTTAGCAATATTCCAGCAATATCACGGCGGGGGACACCTGAAATGGGCTTCACACATTGTACCCATGTCGGGAATCGAACCCGGGTCTTCGGCGTGACGAGCGAACGCTTTAACCACTAGGCTACCCGACCGCCCCTCTGGCAGTATGGATCACTGCTCATGATTTTAGTAGTGGTGGAACAATACACGGATGCATGGGAGCATCGCGATATTTTACTTCCTGATCCAAGTATCGATCACAGTCACACATGAAGGAAAAAATATTGATTAATACCTTAAATGTTTACTTTTTGTGGCTACTAATTAGTAGTGAAAATTGGTATTGAAAAAATAAATATTTTCATCCATTGTGCCATTCTTGACACTGCCAACTGTAAATCATCAGTGTGCCAGGTATTTGGCAATCCTGTCTATGAAAAAGATGACTTACGTACCACAGATAAGGGCACATGCAAGTATCGTGATACGTATCAGATCGTGAACAAGGTATGGTGATACGTATCGGATCGTGAACAAGGTATGGTGATACGTATCGGATCGTGAACAAGGTATGGTGATACGTATCGGATTGCACAGTTGGTGTATCGTCCCAGCCCTAATGCTTAGTCCAGACAGGACTATATACAGGCTGCTGGAATATCGCTGACATCAGCCCCAAAGGAGGTGAGGTGAAATTGGGTTTAACGTCGCGTCCAAGATTATTGCACTTATATAGCGACGTGCATGCACGTGTATGTGTGTGTGTGGCTGCTTGTACTAGTCCGGACTGATGCCGATTTATAGTGCTAGCTCACTGAGATACCATGCCGCAGTTTAACATGAATACCCCACTCAGACACAGTATACTGACTCCGAGCCGACCAGTCCTTGTTTTAGCCCCTTAATGCCGAGCGCCAGACAGGGTAACAACAAGTACAATCTTTTAAAGTCTTTTTGTATGACGCGGCCCGGGATCGAACCCTGGACCTTCCGCTCTCCGGGCGGACGCTCTACCACAAGACCACGGAGGCGGTCTCAGCCCCAAAGGAACTTTCACTAACTTATAATGACACTCTAGAGTAGAGATTGTGTCCAGACTCGATTATTTACAGACCGCCATCATATAGCTGGAATATTGTTCTCAACTGCACCTTATTAATTACAGAAGACCAATAACACAACACCTGATAGAAATGGTGAAGGTAATTCCTGGAATAAACCTGTATCACTTAAGTCACATCTCTGAACTTAAGCCATTCAGCTTTCCAACACTGACAACATGAAGGTCAGAAAAATTGCAAATATAAAAGAAACTGAGTTTCCACTAAATGGTTTCATCCTGCCATTGGTCTTTGTATGTTGCAAAACAAGGATAAAAATAAAGTCAAGACCTTGGTGAAATTGTATGACAAGGTGAGGAGAAATGTGGTTTAACAACGCGTCCAAGATTATTGCAGTTATTTTGTAATGTGCATGTGTTTGTGTGTGTGGTTGCTTGTACTAGTCCGGACTGATGCCGATTTATAGTGCCAGCACACTGAGATACCAAGCTGAAGTTTAATATGAATACCCCACTCAGACACAGTATACCGACTCCAACCGACCAGTCCTTGTTTTAGCCCCTTACTGCTGAACACCAGACAGGGTAACAACAAGTACCATCTTTTAATGTCTTTTGGTATGACACGGACTGGGATCAAACCCAGGACCTTCCGCTCTCCCCGCGGACGCCTTACCACTAGACCACAGAGGCGGTCCACAATATGATGAGCATAGATGGGGTGAGGTGAAATGGGGTTTAATGTTGTGTTCAAGATTATTTCACTTATACAGCGATGTGCATGGACGAGAGAGTTTGCTGCTGAGTTAAGACAAATGCAGCATAAGAAATTGGCACTTGTCCTGTCGTCCTTGCCAAAGCACCCAATAGTTAAGGTATTATAAGGACTAGTAGAAATTTGCCGTTTTTTAAGAGTTTTACTTTATGTTATCATTAAAAGGACCAGTGGACTACAGCTGCAAATGCCTGTTTTGTTTCATTTATATTCACCACTATTCTGCCTCTTCGCCGAATGGATCTGTTCCAGCAGAATAAAACGGACTGGTTCCTCTCTGGTGTGGACATTTTATACATCAAAATGCTGGCCCCCAAGATGCCAGGCCACAGTTTAACATGGATACCCACTCAGACACATTATACTGATTCCGAGCCAGCCGGTCCTTGTCTCTTCTTTCTGGCAAGAGCCAGGAAGGGAAACAACAAGTACCGTCTTATAACATCTTATGCTCCATCACACAAAAGCAGTCTGAACATAAAAGTACTCTATCTAATGTCTACCTAGCTTCAACCCAATCCCCATAAACCTACCGTCTTCTCACCTACACCCACAAGGACAATGGCAAGTATACAGCAATGGAAACCTAAGCCTAACAAACATGCATCTCCCATTACTGACGTGACTAATGATCAAAACAAAAATGCCATCCTACTCCCCGTTCAAAACAAACCCACATTCCAACATCACGTTCGCAAACAGCAATCCAATTACAATAAGCCTACGATCAATATATACGGAAACTGAACATATCATCAATGTTAGATACGTTA